CCCACCGCAGCCCAACAGTGTCCCACTGAACCCACTCCTGCCCAGCAGTGTCCCACTGAACCCACCGCAGCCCAGCAGTGTCCCACTGAACCCACTGCTGTCCAGCACAGAGCTATAGAGCACTCAGCTGCATAGTACTAAGCTGCTGAACACACTACAGCCCAAAACCATATGGCTCAACACACTCCTACCCAACAACACTCCTAATAGAGAGGTACTGAACACTCTGCCTTCAAAGCTTTGGTTCAGTACTCTACCCAACGTGGTGTTTAAAACCAGTTAAGGGGGGCTGTTAAGACTCACGCGTGTTCTTGCCCATTCACTACAAAGGCCCCCGAGCTGTGCTGCGTGTGTGCAGCAGAGGAGTGGAGATCCTTACCGTCGTCGCTCTGACCTCCTTCTCTCTTCAGCATCTGCACAGCACCCACGTACTTCTTCAGCTGCACCTTCAGCACCTCGTTCTCCCTGGAAGGTAAGCCAGCTGCCGTGAGTGTGGAGCCCATGGCCGACCAAGAAAACAGTCCTATTTCTATTATATAAACATAGTTCTATTGACTCCTCCTTCGGATGAGACGTAAAACCGAGGGCCTGACTCTCTGTGGTCATTAAAAATCCCAGGTTGTTTCTCGAAAAGACTAGTGTTACCCTGGCATCCTGGCCAAATTTCCCATTGGACTTTTCCAGTCATGGCCTCCTAATAATCCCCATCTCTGAACTGGCTCCATCACTCTGTTCTCCTCTGCACTGATAGCTGGTGTGTGGGGAATGTTCTGGTGCACTCTGGCTGCTGTTGCATCATCCAGGTGGGGTCTGCACACTGGTGGTGGTGGTGGTGGAGGGGAGTCCCCATTACCTGTGAAGCGCTTTGAGTGGAGTGTCCAAATGTATTTATGTTTTACTCTCACGCATTCTAAACAGAGAACCTCAACATCTGGATTGCGGACCACTTTTTTGGCTCTCGTGTTATTTTTACCAAGTTGCCCAACCAAAAAACATTCTCCACAATGATGAGGAAATCTTTCCTCACGCTTCATGTGGAACCAACCGACATAACGGCCTGTGTCTAGATCAGACAAAAATAAAGTTAAAAGAATAAACTAAATAAATTCATGAACCTGGAAATCTGTGTTTACAGCTTCGGTGCCTTGGAATGATGCACAGACTTTCATTTCAAAGACTGAAATGTACATGCTAAATAAGCAGCTGACACTGCTTGGGAAAGGGCAAGCACCGATAACTGTACTGAGCCAATATTCAAGACAAGAGAAAGGTCCAATGCATCACGAATCTGAAAACGGCACCTGCAATAAATAGCCCAGGGGAAGCAAGTTTAATTAATTAAGATGGTACGATTTCCCTCAAATTAATAACATCTCAGTGCTAGTCTTAAACTTGCAAGTAGCACAGAAAAACATTTGGATATTTAATTACGCCGCAAGGTGCTCAAAAGGTTTCTGTGCATCTCAGGCTAAACCAAAACAGCACTGATAAACAAATCTGATTTATTGCTGGCTCCAGGAAAGAACCAAGGGACGGGCCTTAGAGGAGACAGTCGAAGTTCAACATAGAGTAAGCAGGATTATTTTCTCTCTGTCGGATCCGTATCCTCAGCTAGAACAAATAAATAAATACTGATTTTCCGGAATTCTGGGAGATTAATTAGAGACACCTGAGAAAAAAACGTCCCAAGGAAGACCCAGCTTCGCCTGGGTTTAATTAAAGGCTACGACTCCTCCATCATTAACGAGCAAGGTGCCTCAGCTTCTTCTCTGCCAGTGCACATTCCACAGTCCCGCGTTCTACACTTGACGTGAATTGCATACTCAACTATAAGCTATCCCCAGATGGGAGGGGAGAGAATATCGGTATATTCAAAGAACAAGGGAGGACGTTTTGTAGCTGCCTCCATCAGCCCAAACAAATACAGCCCAATCCTGATCAAATTCCCCAGGCATCGGTAAAAAGCCCTATTCTTAGCAATGCAGCACGCATTCCCCATAAAAATAAATAAGCAGATTCTAACATAAAAAAGTCCAGAAATCAAATCTGCTTTACAGGCAAATAAGATTACAGCAGAGGGAAGGGAAAATCAGCCACCCATAAGCACTACATCTTTGTAGAGCTTTTCTGTGCCTTTGGGTTTTACTGTTTCATTTAGATTTAGTGCCGCTGCTGTATTAAGAGTGTTCTTTCCCCAGGAAGACACAGCTGTGAGAGCCCCAGGCATTTCTCCCAGGAAGAAAAACACCCCACACCACAACTCTCCCTCCCCCTAAAGTGCAGCTGCGTCTCAGGCACAGTGTGTTGCACAGGCTGAAGTCTCTACAGACGCTGGGGGGGGTGGGGGGGGGTCGGCATCTCATTTAACTGTCCCCATTCAGCTCGCCTGAAGATTAACTCCCAGAACCGCACTGATTTCAACCCTGGTTCCCCACACTGCGACAGCGCGATGAACGCATGGCAGGACCACACTTGCACACGTTGCTAACGGAGAGTTTTTTAAAGCAGGAAACGCACACGGGGTTCCGAGCGCCAGCGGCAGTCTCAAGAGAGGAAAGGTGGAGGCATGCACCAAGTCGATTGCCGGCATCCACCTCCACAGCTGCGCTTCCTTACTGCTCTGGGCAGAACCTGTGGAGGAACAGAAAGTGGGACTGGAGCCTTCAAAGAAGGGTTTGAAGAGCACGCCCCTGGCAGAAGCACCCCCAGATAATTCCTTCCATTTCAATCTCCGAGTTTCTTAGCCCATTAACGGCATTGGATCCAGAAGGAGAGTCCCAAGCTCGCTGCATGTGGACACCTCCTCTGCAACGCCAGCTCAGCTGGGTCAGTGATGGCCCGAGCAGAACCGGAAACTCTTTTGGGAAACACTCAGAGCTCAGGGGTTCACTCAAGAGATTCTCTCTTCTTTTATTATCGGTCCAGCCACATTTCATTTGGCGGGGGGGGGGGGGGGGGGGTGTGGGCATAAGCATTAAATAAATGTATTCTCTCGTCTGTCTAGACCGGTTAAAAGGACACAGAGAATGAAAAGATCGGTCAATAAAGACAGCGGAGTGGTTGATCCAGTGCGTGGAACACTCACTCTGACAGCTACAATATCCCTGTCCTGCCAGAAACCTACTGCAGCCAGAGATAAAAGTGTGGTCTGTGCTTAATAAACTCATTTTGCAAGGGCGGAGGGAGATGAATATTGATGCGAACTGCTCAATGCAGATGACCAAGAGTGCACTCAATACCCGTGATGTCATCAAAGCAATGCAGGATAACCATGTGTCTGGAGATGAGAGAGAAGCACTGATTGAATTTGGGCATGGCAATTGCCCTTCAGTAAATCTCCTTCCTATCTCTCTGCATCCTGCTGTAACGCAGAGCACAGTACACTGAAGACGGAGGGACTAGATGCAGAAGGGCCTCATTATGTATACCAGTGCTGAGGGGTGACCTTTAAGATGGTGGAGGAACAATGACAAAAAAAAGGGAAAGGGATTGAAGAGCCTTTGCCCATCTGAGCAGCAGGTTTAGAATGTCCATAACTTATTCCTTCAAACAAATCCCATAGGAGCAAGTAAAACTCCCCCAGGGCTCAATTGCATCATACCAATTGTACTGATGGAAAGAAGAGATGTTATTCAGAAGCCACTGACACATTTCTTCAAACAGCTAGACCCCTACACTTGACTTATAACATCTGCAAGGCTGTGGAAACAAACATAAGAACTAGAGACTCACATATATGGAAATATATATATATGTCAATGACTTAAATTCCACAAAAATGTATTACATCAGTCAGGTCTGCAGATAAAACCAAAATAAGAGCATTGCTGAAGCAGGAGACAAGGGTCCCAATGTTACAATGATAATTCCTTACACTTATATAGCAATTTCCTGGACACTCCACTCTAAGCGCTTCAGTAGGTAATGGGAACTCCCCTCCACCACCACCAGTGTGCAGCCCCACCTGGATGAGACAACGGCAGCCATAGTGCGCCAGTACACTCCCCACACACCAGCTCTCAGTGGGGAGGAGAACAGAGTGATGAAGCCAGTTCATAGATGGGGACTATTAGGAGGCCAGGATTGGTAAAGGCCAGGGGGAAATCTGGGGTAACAGATCTCTTTTGGGAAAGACCCTGGGATTTTTAATGACCAGAAAAAGTCATGACCTTGGTTTTACATCTCTTCCATAAGACGGCGCCTCTTTTACAGTATAGTGTCCCCGTCACTGTACTGGGGCATTAGGACCCACACAGACCACAGGGTGCGCCCCCTGCAGGCCCCACTAATACCACTTCCAGCAGCAACCTTAAAACAGTAGTTGTGTGCATCACAGGGCCTTCAGTGAACACTGTGGACAGTCCTGCATGAGGTCAGAGGAGCAGGACAGGTGCCAAGCTCACACTGAGCAGAGAAGACAGTCGCACAGATTCTCTCTACTTGGAATCCCACTAAAGAGCACTTACATAACATTCACTTACGAAGAAATACATTATTAATTCATAGCAACAAACAGGCCTTGTAAAATATGAATATCTGATGGTGCTGCTAATTTACTCTGAGACACTCAGAGATAAGCAAACTATAATAACTGCTGACGGTAGAGAAATTTTAATGGCCTAAAAAGTGCAAAATTCTTTTCTTCGTGGATCTGTAAATATCTCACAAATTTGTCTGACTTGGACCCTTTTTAATGTTATTTACAGTCCTTCCAAGATGACATGCGACAGGTTAGCGAGCAGACGAAAGGTAATTACCTTGGCAGGTGGTGATTAAGTGACGCTGACCTCCAACTAAAATCACCAGAAACCCAGGAAAGAGGGGATCAGATTATCAGTTGCTAAGAAGAGCAAATATTTCTGGCAGCTCAGACTCTGTAGGAACATTCTTCTAACTTCCTCTATGGACCATTCGGGCAGAGAGCTGGGCAGTGTCCACCCCGATTTCCAGATTAGTTGAACTACTCCCCACCCTGGCTCCGTGCACACCTGCACAGCTCTGCATGGCCAAGCGCATCTGGCCAGTGTGATCCTCCCTCCTCGGTCTGGAAGACCCCTGCCCCTAGGGTGGGCACCTCAAAACCACAATGAAGGAAGTCCATCACGGATTCAAATAAGTCCTCAAGCAGCCGGGAGGAATGAGAGCCCAGCGCCACCAGGGCATCACCGATATGACGTGTAGGACCCCTCCTTCCTCGTGTTTTGGGGTGCACTGTGACAGAGCATGAGAAGGCTGTGTTCTGTCCCCGCCTACCTGCCCAGGGCCTGCACTTTCGCGCCGTGCCTCTCCTCCAGCTCGCCCAGCCGTTTCTTCAGGGAGTCCAGCTCCTGTCTGAGCCCGGCGGAGTGCTCCATCTCCCCGTCCAGCAGACTGCGCAGGGACCTGGCCGGCCACAGCACACGCATGGCGCGCGCATCAGCTGGGGGACAAACAGACACCTTTCGCCTGGCGAGGCCAGCCGAACACAGCGCTCCTGCCCTGCTCCTGCGTCTTCCTGTGGTCGTTTTGCTACTGATGTGATCTGCCTAACCAGTCCGTGCTCGGCTCCCTCTGCTCAGACTGCCACCTCAAAATGCTGACGTGATTCTCAACAATTGCAGGTTGTGCCAGACGAAGTCTTACAAGAGGGAGCTCAGTCAGCAGTGCACAACGTTCTAAAGCTCACATTAAAAAGTACTGAAGCCCTTCAACCAGTAACATACTCTTCTTCTCTTTGCATTCTATAGAACTGTTCTGAGAAAATGAAGCAATTTGGGTTTGTTTTTTAATCAAGACATAAGCAGGCATAAGGAAACAATCAAAGCACGTATGAGCACAAGCGCACAGACAATGGAATAGAGAACAAGCTGCACGCGAGACAGGACAACACACTACACTGAAAACACTCACCTGTTCTCTTCCTCTAGCTCATCCTTTCTGTTCATCATGGCCACGATGGCTTGGCGCAATTCCGCTGCCGAGAGAAAGAAAAAAACGATTTCAAGTATTTCCGCACGTAGCAGGCGAGGAACGCCCCTCGAGGTTTGAAACGGATCCCCTCAGGGATCACCCACCGTTAAAGGTTTGAAACAATCCCGCTGCGATCAGCTGAGCAGGTTAAACTAAGTCATTCAGAACTCATCTAGGACTGAAGTCTAAGCATTCTGCTGCCCTTTCGGACCCGGTCTCTTAATTGAACAGCTTGATTCATCAGTCGCTTACAGGTGTTGCCAATCTTTAAACAGCGTGACCTACAGGACTAACTGGAATGGGGCTCTCCGGGACCAGGGATGCTTCTGAGGTTCCAGGTTTGATTCCTACCGACTTTTTCTAACTCCGTGGTTTCCCTGTCTGCTGTGAAGACATGCCCGAGCTTGTGCGGTCATTTTAAATCCACTGCAGCAATCGGTTTTTCGAGCGGAAGTTTTCCTATGAAGTCTCCACGAGTGCCCAAAGAAAACACTATCTTCATCACCATGGATTTTGAATCCTTCTGTGCACAAGACACAGACATTAATCCCGTTTTGCCGATGGAGAAACGGATAAATTCTGCAATGCCAACCCAATGAACCCTATGGGCTATAATAAGGCGGGCAGGTAAACCGACAGTAAAAGCCCAGAGCTGAGGAGCTCATTAACGAGGAATAGCTCAAGGATTGAAGCCCATAATATCGGTGTGCAGATCAGGTCACTTCCCAAGACAGATGAGAGGGAGACCGACTGTTTAGAAAATAACCCGGCGTGTTATTAAACAATAACCCTGCAGGCCCATGACAGACTTATATTATTCCAGAAGAAAAGAAAGGGGTTATTTGTATACACACACACATATAAATACACACAGACTGTCTCAGACATTTGGCATTGTTCCTCTATTTGCAATATTTTTCTTTCTTTATGCAGAAACAATTATATGATATTCTTTTCTCCTGAAATTGGAGCCAGTTTGTTTCAAGATCTGTCTACAATTGCCACAACTGAAAGAGCACGTCATAACAAAATGCACATTTTTTCCTCCACTCATTGAATTCCTGTGAATATTCTTTGCAACAAGTTCATTCTCATTCTCATGTTTTTCTAATTAAACAGTTCTTCTGTTTAATAATTGACAGTGCAGTTAGCTCTGTCAATTATTTGTCATAATCAGTGGCATAATAATAAAAATGTATTTTTTCCAATGTGTTATGGTCAGTATTTAATTATGAGCCGTTCTGATCAAGAAATGAAAGTGTTTGCCATGACCTATTATTCTTAGTTTAAGTCCTGGTTTAGGGGGCAGCTTCAAACAGCACGTCTGCTCCAGGTTGGAGACAAAACTGAGACGGCGAAGGAGTAATTAACATATGCTATCACCCGTACGCTTGCATATCAGCAATTAAAAAAAACAATTGAGCCAAATTTCAGCGCAATATGGTCAAGTGGCTGGAGATGCAATAGATTTCTTTCTGTTTTGACACGACGTAAAGATTTAGCACCGTTCCTGTAAAAGTTCATCTAATTAGCTCAATAACCAACTTTTTAAAATAGACTCTGGAAAAGCCATTACAGCATCATTAATAACATATTAATAACACCATCAGATGAGTCAGCAAGATTGTTTTTGCTGTTGAGCAGCTCAGGAAACAGCAGGAGCCTAATGTGAAGGCTATCGTCACAGAGCAGGGTCATTAGAGGCAATTAAACTGCAAAGTACTGTGTGCAGAATGCTGAGCTGATGGGAAGCCTAGGTGTAGGTCTAACAGTACAATAGGAAGATTGATTTCAGGTACTCAAGGCAGACATTTCACTCACACACATCACAACTACTTGACAGCATGACCATACAACAACATGAGAAACACAACCTTTGCCCGTTTAAATAGTGCAACAGGGCTCAAGAAAACTAAGCCAGATTTAAACTTATTTTTCTGCATCACTGCCGATTCCATGTGGAAGCTCGAGAGACCGGGGGACGGCCGAGAATTTCTCCACGGGGGGGGGAGGGGGCACAGTCCCAGCACGGGAGATGGTGGCCAAACCAAGCCGTCGGTTTGCCCTGAAAGGCGAAAACCGCAGATGAAACGGGACGTCCACAACGGCGGACGACAACGTGGGCAGACGGCGAAAGGCAAGCAAAGGCTGGGATTGAAGCCAGCGCGGGTACAACGTCCGAGACCGAGACAGGACGGACAGAAGTGACCTTTACTGGAGTTACAAAGCAGGCTCTACCAGCGGCAGACACAGCGCAGGCGCTCAGGCCTGCCCCTGCAGCTGATCCCAGGGAGAGGAGAAAGCCCCCCAGGTGGGCACTGCCTCCTGTCCATGCGGGGCACTTTGGAATCCTCCGGGATAAAAGGCGCGACAGAAATGTAATTCAGGATTATCATCTTGCTTTGAGGAAACGTGAAAAGGACCGAGCAGCTGTGCCAAGAGAATCGGATCCAATCTGCCTCTTCCATGTGGATCTTCTGTTCCCCCCCGATCGGTAAGATTTCAAGCCTCACAGGGGGACAAGGCAGCTCTATTTACGAACAGCTGAGCAGCCTGTGCTGGAGTCACAAGAACCCAATCGTGTCCCAGAATACAGAAGAACCTTTCGGAAAAGACTACGCAACATTGCTGTCAGAAACAGAAGAAAGGAAACTGACGTTTCTTTCTTTTTTATTTTAATGCTACCTATTGCCATATTCATTTTAACAAAGAAAACCCATCACTGTGTGAAACTGAGCTCTCGCACATTCAAAAGAATAATAAAAAGAGTTGTGTGACTTACAGCCATCCTTTTCTTTCACATCACAGTTCATGAAAAACACTCTTTCAAACACTGCTAAACACAATCTCACACTCCAGCCCACTTACTGGGCTTTACTTGAAATCACATGCAATACAGGTGTCAAAGGTTCTGACTGTTCAGAAGACTTATTTTCAAGCACAGTCTTGGCAAAACAAATGGTCCCATCTGCGATCCACAAAATTGCAGCAGAGTTGTTTTTCAGAACAAGATAATTTAAAGAAGACGTCCCTTTAATTGAATAAAAAGTCCAATTCCATAAATAATTTAATTAATTGCTAAGTTTAATGCTTCTACAGCAGTTTGTGAGATTCTGGCACTGTGTCCACCTGTCTGTCTGGTTATGTGTGCACAAGTGTCCAGGTTTCTAGGAATGACTGTGCATGTGGACAGGTATTTCTATTAATGTGAGAGTCAGATCTTACAAAGTGTGTCCACAAAGAAACAGCCTCTGTGAGGACCACTGAGGAGGTCATCACAAGACAACTTATTTTATACACCAAACAGCATCTTTCGTGTCTCAGTGTGTCTGACTGCTTGCTTCAGGTCTGTTGTCACCCCATGCAGAGCTTTGTTATCAGGGGAGTGTGGAGCAGTGAAGAAGCAGACTAAGAGACAGTGAGAAGACCTTACAAATGGTGATTCAGCACCGCGTATGTGTGTGTGAGCCTGCAGCTGTGTCTGTGGGTCTGCATGGCTGTCTGGGCGTGTGAGAGTGTGTGGCCATGAGGCTATGGGTAGCAGGCTTGCCTGCAGGTTCCAGCAGGTGAGTCCATCTGGAGATGGGTCAGACCCCAGGCCTGCGATGATTAATGACACAGGGTTTCTCTGCTTCGCTCCCTGCACACATGGCCCCCTGCTGCCCTCCCAGGTCTGTAATATGGCACTCTGAAGGGCTCGCACTTCACAGAGCTGGCCTGCTGGGGGGTCTCATCCAACTGGCTTTTGTCTTTTACCACAAGTTGCACTTTTTTCACCGCTTCTAGAGGTAGAGCAGGTAGAATTCATGCTATCCCACTCGAAAGAGACCAGAGACCAGACAGAGGTGGATCTGATTTCTCCCCATCTTTGGTACCACAGTCTTACTTACTGAGAATCAAAAGCATCTGCTTACTTGTAACAGCAAAATATTCACAAAGGTACAGGGAAAATAACAACGCCATTTTTGCAGGCGATGTGTAGACGTCTTTATGAACAGACACAAGTAAAGCCGTTTTTCTGATGAGCATTGCTCACCAACAGGGCTGATCAGCACCTGATCTACTATGATCGTCACAAGCTGAAGGCTGGTGAAAAGCACCCTGAGCCACTCCACCACAAGCAGAAATCTGTATGTGTTCAAAGCCTGCTTTGCACCAAGCTGCAGGACCAGTTACTCCTAGTGTTCCTGTTCACTGGTCTCTACGCCCCAGGAGAGCAGGACACTTCTCCCTTGAAGTGTAGGACATTCTTTTTGCATCATAATAATGTTTTGATTTAATCCATCAAAATGACACTAAAAGCATTTAATCAACAGTCATTAGCCACATCCTATTTTTCTGAAATAGTCCAGGCGCAGATGGAGTGATAACATTCTTCTTTTGCTCATTCATTTTGCAAATTAGAAGACCTTCTAAAAGAAAGTGCGATCCAGTTGTACTGGTGGCCTGTCTGGGTCATGGAGTGCAACAGCTTTTTGGTTTTGATTTCAGCCAGATCCGATCGAAGGAACAGCAGGCTTCAGTAGTTCAAATAAACGAGCTCTCCAGCTCCGCATCCACAGGGAACTTCAGACTTTAGGGCAGCAGGAATTCTGGCACAGAGCTTCCCGTCCCGATCTGTGCTTGTGACCCAGAACGTGAAAAACACAAGGAATTCTGCCAAGTCCGCGGGACTCGGAGAGATCCTGCTTTTAGTTCATCTGTATCTATCGATGGATCGACCAAAAATAAAAAAACTCCTTCACTCACGTTCTTCATTCGGCGAACAAGGCTCAAAGCGCGTCAAGGTCACAGCATGTGTCCGGCAAGCAACGCCTTTGTTTGTTTTTAATAGCCTTTTCTTACCAACTAGCATCCTATCACACTCAAACAACGAAATGGCTGCCCCCCCTCCCCATAGTGACACAGTACAAAGGCGATCCTGGAGATGAAAGGTAAGGGGGACCAGTTAAATTACAGCAGCCCAAAGAACAGGCCTTCAGGAGAAATGAACCATGGGGTGTTCAAAAAAGCTTTTCACATTATAAGCCCATAACACTGAAAAGCAACAATGAGGAGAGAGCGTTTTTTTTATCATTATTATCCTTGTTTCTTTTCTCTCTCCTTTTAAATGACAGATGGAGTGCCTGGAGAGCTGTTAAACCTAAATTGAAGGTTTATGAGTGCCATTCGGAATTAGGTTCAGGAGGCGGCAGGGCGACTTGAATAACTGCACTGTAATGAAACAGAAACTCTCAGGGCAGCATCTGTGCCTGATGATGTACTTGGAGAAACCGCGACTCCTGGCCTTGCATTAGGGCTTTATGTTTTGAAGGAAAGATTCATCGGCGGAGCTAAAGTGCATCGCAGAGTAGATTCCTGCAAAATAATCTAATCTGAGCCGGTCACGTGCACTTGTCTTTCGTGTGGAATCATTCAGCTGCTAATCACTTTGAACCAGCTTTGCTGACCATCGCTGCGGCTATGGACGATGCATATTGCAGCGCACGAAACAAAAGCCTAGGGCTATCCTTGGGACCTCGGCATGCCATTCAGGGAAAGGATGGAGCATCACTCTGGGGAGGCCCAGGAATTTCCAACACAGCACGCCGGTGTGTTCCGAGAACAGCCAGAGAGCTAGCCCTCTTCCACGGCCTGTGGCCAGCAGGCTGAAGAACCAGCAGTCCTCAACAGCCTCAGGATTATGACAAGGGGGGCAGGTGAACCACGGACACAAGCCCAGACCCACACACGCGACAGTGCATGACGGGGCGCTATTTCTCCCGAGCGGGCCGTTTTTGTTTGCACATAAACTAATCTGACAAACTATTCCGGTTCACTTACTGAGCACAGGGGTTTTCAGCATCGCTCATAACATCTCAAATAACACACGAAATTAAACCCCTGATTACACGGACATAATTCATTGCCGGTGGAGCAGCCCGCATGACACAACGACTCCAGTTGATTTCCAGAGGAACTGTCGCTTTGCATTCCAGTCCTCCCTCATCGTCGGCACCAGGAGAAGCACGAGGCCCCCACACCCAGGACTAGGCCGAGAAGACCTGTCTGTCCGAACATGAGGGCGGGACACCGAGCCAAAGCACTGTGGGAAACGAGGACGAGAGAGGGCTTCAGCCGCGGCCAGAAATAAGTCTGTATTGCCCACAGAGGAAACAAAAAGCCCTCTTGCTCAATTTCCCGGACTAGAAATCCCACTTTTAATGAAAACTATTTTATTAAATGTAGAACTCACTTCTCCCCACTCCAGTTCGTCCCGTTTGCTCTATTTCTCTCGCTCCCAGTCCGTGCTGGAGCACTCAGGCGATTCTAAAAGCAACAGCGCCCCCTACTGTGGATAAACAGCATGAGCTGAGATTGGGAAATTCTGCGCTCGCTGAACTCCAGGTTTTTCGGCCTGTGCTTTTTTTGTGCGTCTCTGGTCATTTGCGTTTACAGATGCAGTTTCAGATGGCTGCTGATTTGCATGACTCTGGGGGCTCATACCTGGATGTGATTACAATGGAGGAAGATTACAGCAAGGTTCAATGGTGCTTAAAACAGCCAACTGTGCCATTAAGTCAGGGACAGGGTGTAACTCCAGAACTCTTCTCTTCAAGGCTGCAATTAAAGCCCCAAATTCCCACAAGAAAAATTAGACGTTGAAAAATTTGAATTACAATTATGTTCTGGGAAGGAGCACTTCATCAAGGGACACTGTCACAGTTTTCACGATTCATCAGTCTCCTTGTGCAAGTGCAGGGAAATGAGTCAACTTTTTTCCTCCGAGGGCAAAAGTTCAGTTCCAGCATTACTGCACTGCAACCCACAGGACCACCTCTGTTTGTAGATGAAAGGCCTGCCCTGTTCAGGGACAGAGAGCAGCCGAACGAGCCACTCCGAGCTCTGGGTGTGCTGAAGCACACGCGCGACAGTTACTCGTCCGCGAGGGCAGGGCAGGGGAAAGCCGGCAGCTCGCGTCCACTCTGAGATCCCGGCAGAATCAGCTCATCCCACCCTACTGCATGAGCGCACAGCTAAAAATAACCTCCAGAAACAAAAAGGCACTAAAATAGATCGAGAAACGTGTGCGGTTTTGTTCTAACATCTGTAACCCCCCACCAGCCCCCTCCCCTCCTTCCTTCCCCGGAAACTGGCAGTTCTGCCTCATTTTCAGATCAATACAGAGAAAATCAACACAGCTGGCTGAGCCTCCAATTAATCCGCCTGGATCCGCCAATTAACCGCAGGGGGACAGAGCGCTGTCATCCCCTCTCGCCAGGCACAGCCTGCCCAGCGCTATTAACGTCCACATCTGCTCCCGGCGCACAGCTGATCGCCAGCCCCGCTATCCGGGACGGTGCCCGCTCGCTGCCAGAGATTCGGCGGGCACGGCCGGCCTGCGCGGGGACCGAGGCCAGGGCTGCCCCCACTCTGGCGGCGACCCGGGAGAGCTCAGACCGCGCTCGTGACGGCGAGGGGATCGGACACGGGCTTGTCTGGCGTCGCCGAGCGCACAAGGCAGGTTATGCATCGCTGCATACAGAACATACTGCCCACATGCTGTAACACATTAAGCTTCAGGTTGCTGTGTTTTGCAGGCGATTTCATTTTGATGCCTCGTGCAAACATTCAGCAACAGGCTCTCTGAACACGACGCTACGCCGTGTGCGAGACTCACCGGGCTGGGAAGAGCCGTCACTAGGAGGGAGGAACGTGCAGGCGAGACCTGTCAGGAGAAGAGACGGCAACTTACCGACAGTCATGGACTCCGGCAGGACGGGGGAGCTGATGTTCAACGGGGTGCTCTGGGCCGCCGGGCTGGTGTCCGTGCTGGGTAGAGAGAAAGGGAGAGCGAGTTCAGCTATCGCCACAGGAACCCGCGGACAACAACGTCACCACGTGCGACCTTTGCTTTACGCAGAGCCGTTAAGGGGGGGGGGGGGGGGGGGTTACGCACCTGTACCCCAGCCGTGGTTCCGTCTGCGTCACCTCGCTCCTGCCAGTCACCTCCCGATACCCCCGAGTCTGCACCTCGCCCTCTGAAACGCACGCACAGGGCAGTTTGCACGGCGGATTTCTTTCGGGTCTCGCGCCCACCTCTCGTCTGGCAGATGCTGGATTCATTCCAGCAAACCCTAAAATCCCACCTCTCCCCACGCAACGCTCGCGTGCACACTCAAGGCATGGCTCACAAAGCAGCCCTGTGCATGTCCCGACACCCACAGCTACACACACGTCTGCGGGATGCCAGGGGTGGGAGTGATGAGTTTCGTGTCAAGCGCCTCCCCTCCATACGCTCAGCACACCCCGACCTTCACCTACCGGGCTGGGAGCAGGAGTCTGCGGAATCAACCGGGATGAGGATATCGGAGCCGTCGTTGTCGTTGATCACCTGCAGGGGGCTCCACGTGGACACACTGGACAGGCTTCCAACCAGAGGCCTGGAGACAACAGCCGTGGCAAAGGAGTTGCAGGACTGTGACTGAAATCGGCCCTGATGTTACATGCAAAACAGCTCCCCACCCTGTGCTGAACGCTTAGGAGAATTGCAGGAAAGAAATACAGAGAAAAGTGAGGAGCAAAGGCATCTCTGGGATGCAAAGCGAAGACGGCTTCTGTTCTATAAGCAGCAGGACCCGAGGAGCTCAGCGGCGATGAGGATCCGGAGTAACTCACTGCTCTCCATTGCCGCGCTCTTCCTCCACCTCCGGCCTGCTCCTCCCGTACAGGTCCTCCTCTTCCTCCTCTTCGTTGTCGATGCTCTTACTGTCGATGGGCTCCCCATTGGTGGTGTGGGGCCCCCCCCAGCCCCCCACCTCTCCGTCAGGTGCCCCGTTCTGCGTGGGCGGGGGGTCGCTGACCTCCAAGGCCTCCTCCGAGCCGCCGGGGCCCCTGCCGGACCCCTTCCTCAACCTGCCGCCCCCTTCCCCCTCCTCCTCCTCGTCATCGTCGAAGGAGATTATGTGGGTCACCTTCTTCTTCCTCCGGCGCTCCTTCTTTAAACCTGAGTCTGGGCACGCCACAGGGGCAGAAGACAGGCCATTAGCCCTCAGGGTCAACAGAAGAAGCTCTTGCAGGTTTCAGCCTCCTTCACATCCTGGAAGCATGAACACTATAGAAGAAAAACACTGTGGAAGAGCTCCTACAAGCTCCTCCAGGAACACCAGACATAAACGCAGGACTGGAATGCCTCCTATAATTCAGAGTCAAACCCTGCTAAAAAAAGGGGAGAGATGCCGGCAGACGAATGCACCAAGATGATACGTTTCACATTATTGCTACTTCAGCTCGAGTGCAGACCTGTCACTTTGCGCACTCATGGTAGTTCCTGCTTTGCCGTGAGGGACTGCCAGAAAACACAAGTGAAAGCAGAGATGTGAAGTGGATCAAACAGACAATTCACTACTTCAAACACTTCATCGCTAGACCCACAGGAAAACCAAAGCGAGCAAAGAACTGTAACTCAGGCCACACACGTATACGTACACATACATACATCTCACATCTGTCTCATTACAGAAGTGAGAGTTTTATTACCAACCAGCTGTACTTTTTTTTTGGACTATAAAAAGACTACAAAAATGCACTCGGTTCCTGTTGTGCACAGAGACCCAGGGTAGACCCAGGCTAGTGAAAAGGCCCCACGCTGGATGAGGAGGAAAAGGCCTTCAGGTTCACTGGGTGCCCAAGGGCGTGGCAGTGGGCGCAGCTCCACGACCTACCTGCAGAGGCACTGCGGGGCAGAACGGGCAGGGGGTCGGAGAGGTGCTCGGCCCGGGGGCCGAACCCGGGCACCGCGGAGGTGGCCGTGCTGATCTCCCGCAGGAGGGTGCTGACGCCCTGGGCAGACTCCTTCCACAGGCTGCTCACGCCCTGCGTGGACTCGCGCAGCAGGTCCGAGACGGAGGGCGCGCCGCGGCTCTGCCCGTTCAGGTCCGTGTTGTCGATGTTGATGGCGAACAGGATGGAGTTCAGCCCTGCGCGGGTTTACAGCACACACGCGGCCCGTCAGAACCCGCGGCCCGTCCCCCCCGCTCTCCCACAAAGCCCGCTCGCGCCCGGCGAGGGCGCCACCCCGCTCTGGACTGCCTACATGTAGCGGTTTCGGCGGAGGAAAAAGGTGCCGCGTGTGGAACGTTATGGTTGATAAGGAATGAACAGAAAAAACACAAATCAGAGGAAACAAGAGGAAACTATGTGGGACTGCTTTTAAAAACAGAGAACGGCAGGAACATCTCTACACAAAGGGTGGTGGGAGCATGCGACAAGCTGCGCAGCCCTGTTAATGAAGCCGATACTCTGGCTTCTGGCAGGGAACAGCAGGGTGAGATCCTGGGATTAATAAGCTTCTCAGTACAAAGGGGCTGGATGCACCGAACGGTCAGTTTTCTTTTATGTTCTTATGTAAGTGAGGGTCAGTCAAGAAGAGCTCTCAAAGAGACACTGACATCTTATGTTCTGCGCAGTAAAAGCTGTTTGACTAGCGTTAGCACTGAAGCTCTTACCTGCTGCCATAATGGGAAGCATACTCGCACGTTCCTCATCCATCAGGAAGGCCCAGTCTTCATAAAAGACACTAGAGAATGAAAATGGCACTTTAAAACACAGACCACCTCTTTCTCAGCCTAAGAATCCAAAACAGGATTCAGGATAAGCGAGTAGAAACAGATTATCCCTAGGCACTTCCAAAGAAGCGTTTGTGTCAATCCACTGGCACGAACGAAAGGCTGAACACAGGCTCATCGGCATCCTGGTTCGAAATGTACTCCGCGCTCTTTCAGCATGAGAGGGTGGGAGCGGAAGACAGACGCCGCGGAACAACCCAGGGTAGGAAAGGGCTGGTCTGTCATTCCAGACGCTCAGTTCTCAACTGGGGGGTGGAAAAAAAAAAACCCCGGCAAAGATGAGCAGCAGAATCATTGGGGGCAAATCAAATCCACCTAAATGCCCTGCACAAACACAGGGTCGTCAGGAAGGAGGAGTGGCTCAGCCGAGTAACGGATTCAAAAAGCTCTTATCCCTCCTGCAATCTTCTTCCTAAACAGTGGTAAATAGCTAACGTACCCCAGAGAAACAGTGTTAAATAGCTCCCGTACCCCCTGAGAAACAGTGCTAAATAGCTCTTGTATCCCTGCTGTACTGGCTTCGCTGTTGGCGAGTGTGCTGCTGTGTTGGGCTCTCCTCCCCTAAACCTAGAGCTGAATTCCGCCTCCAGGGCGGCGATCCGACTTCTCCTCCCGGGGAGGGGCGGGCAGTACCTGAGGCGCGCGCGGTCGGCCAGCAGGGCGTGGAGGTAGCGCTCCAGCGAGTGCTCGTTCAGGGCGCAGCGCAGCCAGGCCCGCCCCCGGCCCACCTCCGAGCTGATCTGCCGCAGGGCGTAGAAGCGCTGCAGCTCGTGCCGGTTCAGGTGCTCCTTCACGTACAGCCAGAAGGACAGCTCTGCAAACACAGGAGGAGATGCCAAGGAACTGAACCTCTTTAGTCTTGCATGCAGGGGACCGCGGCGAGATCGGCCCCCGAAAGACACTGATAAAGTCAAATTGTACTAAACAGCTTGGCCACCTCGCAGCCTGATCTTGGCCAGTATCGGAAAGCATGAGCCTTCAGGAAAACGAGGTTGCTGGGCAGGTGTTTGAATGCACCAGCAGATGGGCACTCTTTCCTCTAGCCCACCATTGACCAAACCAACTCTTGGTCAAGAAGGGGCGGCATTTCAGATCAAAGAGTTGCTAAACAATAGGGGCTTGTCAAACAGCATAAATATTACAATTGACCTGTGCTCTGCTCTGAAAAATACTCAGATGGGTTGCTGATGAAATCACGGTCTTCTGCTATTACCCAGGGATGAAACTAACCCTTTAATTTGCAGTGCAAGGCTGTTTCCCCTTGATATGCTATGATAGTGGGAAGCGAAAATGTCATTCCCAGTACCCTGCAGAGCACTGTCCAGACAGTACTGACTTCAGACGGGAGACACACAGTGTCAATCTCTTCATACATCCTTGAATCGTACTGCATAAAATAATTAAAGTGATGAGATTTCCATACAAGACCTGTAGGTCAAGGAAAAATCTAGCTCACCTCCAATAATGTGAGCTTAAACATGAACCTTCAGAGAAGCTTGAAAGCAAAAACATGTAAACAGGTCAAAACGCCTAAGATATTGCACTTCAAAATGCAGTCAATATGCCCCTTTGACAGCTAGCCAGCAATGCTGGCACTCTGCTCATATTACATAAGTCTTCTCTCAGCCTCAAAATATACAGCAGAACATAATGACTTTAAATTCTTTCAGGACTAGCCAGCCAAGACGTTTTTGACCACAAATTATGGTGCTGAGGATGTTTTACTGCAACAAAATCAAAGCGCGTCTCTGAGGCGAGCCGGACCCGAAGGCTGTTCACCTGCAGCTTGAAGTCGGAGCGAGGCAGCGTGTTCTTAGGCCACTGACTCAGCAAAAGTGCACCGCTGCCCCCTGGAGGGGGGGGGCAGGGGAGAATGGACTGCAGCCAAACCTTCATGGTCTATTTGTAACATTTGAGAGAAAAAAAATCCGTTTCGGAGGTTGTTTTTTCTTCTGTTTCGTGTAGATGCAAAACAGGAAGAACAGAAAAAAAAGAAGGAGGAAAAACTCAAGCCGTTCCACTTTTGCAAAGCCCGGTGTGGCCTGCTACTCAATACACAGCACAGCGCGTGTCTCTGGAGCACTGGCTGGGTTCTGACAGCCGGGGTGCGCAACGTCAGCTGCCTGCTGGCTTTTAATCAGTACAGTAACTGCGCTTAAGGTTCTCACCTTTGAAGACTTGCCCATTTTCCAAAACACGACTTTGGAAAACCCTCAAACTAATAACGCAAAGGCCGCAACGACACAAATGACTACAATCTGTTTACAAGGGTCTGCAAGGGTCTGAGATGTGGCGAGAAATGAGTCTGTCAACCGGCAGCCCCGTCACATCGGGTTAAGTTTGGCCCTTTATGCAGTAACCAGCTATGGGCGACAATGAATCAAGAGCACTCCCCCCTTCTATAAAAGGGATTTTCTCTAAACCCAAAGGGACAGGCTTTTAGCAATTTCCCCCTTTTTGTCGAATCCACATGCCTTCATCTGCGCGCGTTTCGGTACTGAGCTTTCCCACGGTCCGAGGCCAGGGCCAGCACGGAGCTGAGGCTTTCTGGGGCGACACGTCAGCGGACCTGGCCTTTTAATGGAAAGGGCAGAGAAGAAGTCAAAGGCCGAGCTTTTTAATCCCGTCGTCATACTTTTTCCTACTTACCCCCTGGAACAAAGGTCCTAGTCGTTTCTATAGAGATTATCAGACTCGGACCTTATAGCATTTTAGCCTCGAGGGCCTGAGGTACAGAAGGCGGCCCTGCCCGAGTTTCACCATCTTGGTTTCTGAACGAACGGGTTTTTATTTTTTTACTGGGGTTTTTTTACTGCTGCCTCCACAGATGTACAGCAGTTTTGAGGTTTTTTTTAGCTGTTTCTTCTCTTTTTGCTCCCCCTCCCCAGTGTTGTGTGTCGGGGCTCAGGTGTGGGGGAACGCAGCATGGCCCTGACGACCCCCTCCTGCCCCTCCCCAGGGAGCCACAGTCGAGACAGCAAGGGCAGGGCACCATGGGACTGTTCCTCCACTATTAAAGCAGATCAGGCTCAGCCATGGCTCTCTACTGGCCTATTACTGCTAGAGACCAAACTTCACGTTTCCTTCATGAAGGCAAAAATAGGCTAATACCTTAAACACATTTGAGCACATCAGTTTTACAAGGATTACGAAAACTGGGCGAGTGTGATTTAAACCTGATTTGGAAAAGAAGCACTCTCAATCCGTACGTCTTGTGTCGTTTTTTCACTCTGTGTAAGCATGAAAGAGTTGACTCATTTCACTGTAGCTCTCAAAAAGCTTTGACCACTAAAGCCAAACTGGAAACCAGCTGTACCTAAATTGTCGGTATTTTTAATTTGAGGAACCTAATAAGACCAGTCCATCCCATTAGTAAGCTCTCATAAGAGGATAACCTAGTAGACCGAGTCACTAAACCCGTATTTCAAAATAATGGGCATTCCGCAAAACACACTTGTTTCATAGCATGCAGCACAACAAAGACACGTGAAAGCAGTGGAAAAAACAATTACCGAGAGACACTAAAACACAGCAGGGCACCATGAGTAAGTGCAGCACAGAAAGCTGACAGCGGAGCTGAAAGCAAGAAGCTGCACAGCAAGTCAGTGCAGAGGGAGATCGAGGACAGAAGCGCAGACATCTCACTTCTGCTATAGAACTTCCCCCATTCACAGCTCTGTCACACAGAAACTCCACAGAAGACATCGCAAACAACACATCAGTTGATGACTTCTCCACGCCACTGGAAAATTCCAATGACAAGGAAAGCTATTTAAAGACAGAGTGGGTTCTTTTCATACAGCTCAAAATCACAAGGCAGTGCAACGAGATTCAATTGTCACTTTATCTAGAATTCCTTATACATGGAGGTTCAAAATAAAATCTTAATTTGAAGGGGTTTCTTAAATTTCTGTAGGCTGCAGCATGTTAAAGCTCTTAGGGCCACACTCTCACAGCAGCGGGGTCCCGCGTTCCCGTCCAGTCTTGGACTTTCACACATTCCTGCTGTTCCTCACGGTTTCTGCTGCTGATCCCATTTCCCCCCGGACCCAGATTCCTGCTAGACAGGCCGGACTGGCCCACTGTGTGCTGTGCTGTGACGGACGGGTCATGACCTTTGCCCCTTGACTCTGAGCAGGGCAAACCGCTCACAGAGGCACTGTCCTGGCAGGGACTGCTGTGACGGCTCCTGAACGAGCTGGGCAACAGGCCGACGCTGCCACAAGTTCTGGGATAGGGCATGCGACGTTTCACCCTTGTGCGGACCTGACTGCTGCTCTGTCTGTCTGGTGCTCGTCCTACGTCAGTGTCCCAGGGCTGTGCTTCTTCTCCCTTGCTCGCTCACAGAGGCTGCTGTAACGGTGTCACTCGGTCACCCCAGCACACAGCTGGCTTCAGCCCCGAGAGGAGTCCAGATGTGGTGCTAGGCCGAAGCCCCCCCTTGCCCTCACGGTACAGATGTGCTGAAGTAAAACAGGTATCTACCGCTCCACTGAAGAGAGTGGGGTGCTAAACCTGCTGTCCTGGTCAATGTCAATCCAGACTTTCCCAAACCTGCCTGAACTCCCCTCTATAACTGTGTGTAACTCCCACCTTCTGCAGGTGAGCTTCGCCACTCTCAGCTTGCAGCCCTTCAGTGAGCTCTTCTGTGTAGCACCCAGAAACCCAGGAAATGAGCTCTTCAAGACACTCCAGGAAAAAAAGTACCAAAATATTTTGCATTCCTGCAACTACTAAACAGAGCTCATTTCCTGGGTTTCTGGGTGCTACACACTGGATGACATGTCTCCCCACTACTGGAGCTCCAGGCACGAGGCCACAGCACCTTCTTTCACCTCCGCTGTAACCACAGGCCAGTCAAACCGAGAAACCCTGCCCCTCCTCCTCGGCGGCAGACACCTGGCCCCGCTGGCAGGCAGGGGTCACCACCTGGCCGGCAGACTTGCTGAACAGCCAGTGAGAGGGCAGAGCAGGTCGCAGGTCAGCGGCCACGTTCACACCTTCAGTTATTACCAAACAAGCCCGCAGAGCGTGGCTTCCCACAGACGTCTGCCGAGTGGCTCGCTGTGTTCTGCTTCCTTTTCATGAGTGCCGAGGCCAGGCCAGGTGTTCGCTAACCTCAGAGAAAGAATATTTCCGCTATTTTAGTTTCTAACACACACCTCCGTTTCTCAGAGCCAACATTAGCCACTGGCTTTCCTGCTCAGGCTTCCTGTTGCATCAGTCCCCCCCCACCCCCTGAACACGAGCTGCGATCTCCCCGTGCTTCACCTCTGTTCTCCTCCACCGCCACCCATCTCCCTCGCTCTTCCCGGAGGGTGCACCTGGCCAGAGCCCAGACCCACCGCAAGCCCCTGGGAAGACTTCAGGGTGTCGAAAGTCTCCAGCCTGGGCTCATCACTCCTGACCTGGCTCGAGGGAGGGAGTTTTAGATAACATACGATCACTTTATTGGCCATATACAACTTGTCTTGTTCGCCTACCCATCTCCATGAGACACACAGGCAGGGAGGGAAGCTGGGGGTCAGAGCGCAGGGTCAGCCATTTATACAGCGCCCCTGGAGCAGCTGGGGTGAAGGGCCTTGCTCAGGGGCCCAACAGAAGCAAAAGAGGCTTCCAACGACACACAAGACAGCCGCGGCCTCGGCCAGCCTGGGCCAACCCAGCGCTGTTTCTACATAAAGGAACTGCTCTTTCAGCGTGGCAGTAAGAGGGAAGCGGTGCAAAGGCTTCAGAACGGTAGCTTTGCCCGCGGTGGTTTTTTTGTGCAGCCGATCGATAACGTCCGCCCCCATCCCCCTCCCCTCCTACCTGATTCCGCCTTGCTGGAGAATCCCGCCACCTGCTTGAAGGCGGCGGCGGTGAGCGCCAGGCCCCGGCTCCTCCGGAGCCCGTGCTGGAGCATGGCCTCGAACTGCGCGCACAGGCAGATCACCCTGCGGGAAGGACAGGCAGGGGGGTTAGAGGGGGGAGGGGGGGGCCGCGCCCGGGGAGACCGGCCAGTCCGCACCTGCGGGCACCCGCGCTCACCTGCTGTCCGAGTCGGACGCGATCTCCTTTCTGCCTCCAAAGCGGATCTGGCACTGGGAAGACAGAGACGGGAAATAAACCTTACAAAGTGGCAGCGACTGATTTGCAAAGGAACATAAAGGCTCTAGCGTGCAGAATTCCGTTTGAAAGAACAGGTAAGATGCAACGGAGTCGTATTTCTCGACAGGCGTGTCGTGCACACTATACACCTGTTCCCCGCAGAGCGGCGATGTCTCACCTGCTTCACCGCATCCAGCAGCCTCTCCAGCAGGTGCTGTCTCTTGATGTCATTTTGCTGGGCTCCTGCAAATGCAATTTAAGTACAGAGAGCTTCATCTCAACTGAACACTTTTACACTAGGAAAATCCTGTTTTTCCAGCAGCCTCATTTTTAGATTAGAACTCAAAGTGACAACCGGACAACCGGAGTGGCAGCAACTTCAAGCACGCATCGAGGAGGAAGATGCAAAGACACCTGTCTTTCGAACAGCAGGCTCCTTTGGTTACGTTGACTGATGCTGCAGCCCTGGGGTACACTTACAATTGCCGGGCATTGAAAAAGTATGCAAGGCATCTGCTCAGAGGGCATGAGGGAGCAAGATCCACTCGGCCTGCCTGAACAAGTGGGCAAAGGCCTTCTCTAATGGACTCTCGGGATAACGTTTCATACTGCTGCCTGGGCACATTCTGAGGACGCACCCAAGCAGACATTCGGCCAAGCAAAGAACATCCAGCTGTTATGCTTTGTACAACCGGACTATAAATGAACATTCATATTAAACCAGCTAACAGGACCCTACATGATTTCCCATGTTGAAGCTGCATGTTAAAACCCCACAGACAAATCACAGGATTTATAGCGGAACACCACCTTCGCCAGCAGAGCGAAACTGGCATTTAGCAGCAACTAACTGGCAAAGTTCCTGTAAACAGACCAATGGTGCCTGAACTGAATTCGCAGCACTTGCCACTGCAGACAGCGTTTTCAGATCAACAGTAGCAATACCTCGTTCCTCTTTACTCAGCTGAATCTCTGGGGGATGGGCGAAACGCGCAGTGGCGTGAGGATTTAGGTTTCCCGAAACGCAAGAGAGTAGAGCCTCACAGTGCACAGAGCTGACGTGCTGAAACGGGATGGTGGAGGGCCGACAGCCTTTTCGCTTTGTTGAGGGTTTCTACTGTTCCACTTCAGAAGTGAGCTCGAAAACAAAGCTGAGATAAGAAAGCTCCACAGTCTCCTCGTTCACGGCACCCAGTCCTTTCCGACAGTCACTCACACAAGCAGGCAGTATTGAGACAAGCGGAAACTCCCACTTGGGGCTGGGTGGAACCTGATCTGCAGGGCTACCTCCAGGCTTTAAACACACACACTGCTGTTCACCTAGGAACCCCCAAGTCTGTGCCGGTCCCCCAGAGCCCCACACCCCCAGCCCTGGGAACTGACCCAGGCAGCTTGGAATAAAATCGAATCTGCAGTACAAAATGCAGGCAAACCAAATACACAATTTAAATGAGCCAGGCTCTGGCACACAATGATCATAAAAGATGGTCCAGATGGATCACAAAGGGAATTACTGTACCTTTTAAAAGGGGAGAGGGTGTCACTGGTCACTAGATTAACGGAGGGTTTCAGCTGGGCTTCAAGCTCAGCACATGTTCACGAAAGACAACTCAGGTAACCCTCATGGCCAGTTCGCCACTGTCAGTGGGCAATTTGTGCTCGATTGACTTAAAGGGGAACTGCAGTCCCAATTTCTCAGACCAGTTATTAAATCTTGGGAACAAAATAAAATAAAATTATTGACAGTCTAGAAAAAAAAAGACAAATTTCGAATTAAGCACAAAATAGCAAACTCTGTGAAAGTACTGTTAGTCGCCACATTCGCCTTATAAAGCTCTGGTCTCGCTACAGGTGAGAACGGGACTTTGTGTGAATTGTGACGTGAAGTGGCCCTTCCTGCTCACTAGTCACTGTAGTGACTAATGTGATGTGATGTGATGTACAGTACCAGCGAATGAGTACAGGTTGTGCAGCAGACACTTCACCGCAGAAATTTTCCACTGCGATCTGCGTGCAGAGTGCACAAGTAAGTGAACGTTTTACTTTTGTTGTGGTTTGAAACGCGCTCGCCAATGCCGACTCCTTTCTCACCCCGACATATAAAAATAGAGTTTTAGTTTCTCTTAAATTGGTTAAGAACGCGAGAAAGGTTCTAAACGCGGCCATTTGGATCATTCAGCCCCATTAAGTAATCAATAGTTAGCTGATCCAAGGATCTCGCCCAGCTGCTCCGGGACAGAAGTCAGGATACCAGCTTCAACAACACAGCTGGGCGACCTGTCCCACACCTCTCCCACTCTTTGGGTAAAGACGTGCTGCCTGTTCTCAGTTTAAACTCGGGACCTCACACATGCACAGCATTCAGACTCCCACTGAGCCATATCCCCTGACACGCCGGTACGATCAAGACACTGTCCCGCGGCTCAGCTTTCCTGGTGCACGACACGCTGACAAATGGAATCGCCACACTCTTATTCACAGAACAAAGCACTTGCAAAACGACAAATTATTAACAGAACGCGACCATCTGAGTCTAGCACGTCTGCGATGCAGATCAACCTCCAGTGCTGCTGTCAGCTTTGCCCCTCGGTGGCGGGAAACAGGTGACGTGATGTGATCACACCTGAAGAGTGGGTCTGGCCCGGTTTAGAAAGGATACAGACATACAGGCTCTGCACAACAGTTTTGTTTTTAGCCAGGTTGTGCAGCAACAAAACAATACAAAAGCGACATTGGGAAGACCTTCTGGAGTAACAGTCTTCAATACTAAACTCCGGTCCTTAAGATGACACGATTAAAGCATAAGGCATGAGCCAGGTCTGCTTCACTGCGCCTCGCAGCGCGCCAGACAGCTAACATGCATAAGAGGACAGCTCTAACGGAGGAAGACAGCGACTACCTGAGGTAAAAATTCCTGTACATTACAAGATGCTGCTCTGCTACGGGTTATTTCCAACACTACTCGGTGTTGCTCAGGAAAACCCCCCTTTCTCTCCATCCTGTCCCGACGGCCCCTCATTTCCAGGAACGGGCGAGTCCGCAGCTGACCCTTCAAGGTAGTTCACTTTCTGCTGGTTCTTGTATACAAGCAAATCTCTTGCTGAAACCCTCCAGCTTGTAGCTGTGCGTCTATGCGAAGCTCGCAAGAAAAACAAACCGGGGTTTGTTCCGGACGGAACCGGAAGGGGCGGGGTTGCCGGGTGGTTTTTTCCCGGCCATTGGGTTCTTGTTGGCGGCCCTTTGGGGTTCTTGGGTTTTTTTAAAAAAAAAACACGTCTCAAATAAAGAAAAAATATGAATGTAATACTTTGTCACTTACCGCTCATCCTGCCGCGGCAGTTTAGTTCAAATGTCGATTAGAGTACCGTCTAACATGCAGCTTTGCTCTCAGTTCCAGTTATTCGAAAACCACGGAAGATTGTTCAAAACCAAGTTGGCTTCGGTCCTTGCATTTTGTGAAACGGTTCAGCACTGATAGAGCTAGTCCTCTGTGGACTAGGATCGCCCCAGCCACTGAAACCGCCGGCCCCAGTGGGCCTGCGCTACGACTACAGCCCAGACGGGTAACAACACCGGGTGACACATGCACTGCTCGTCCCAAACTGACACTATGGGGCTACTGCCTCGGAACCGAAGTAGCCAAGAACAGAGAGTTGGACAAACAATGACAGCAAGCGATTTTCTCATCTATTACGCTCAGCAAAAGCAGTTCAGCCTCGGCTGATCACATGACATGGTCCAGACCCGGTCACATGACAGGGTTATAGATCACATGGAGGGGGAGCGGAACAATACCACGTGACGAGGGCTATTTCATCCCAGCTGCGCCGCTCGGTTTGGATGAAAACTTGTTCTGCGTGTTTTAAATACGTATACAGTAGTGATAATACACAGAATGCAGCGTTAAAAGCAGCCGTTGATAACCCAAGGGGATCTACACATTTCATTAGAGGTAGAAAATTACACTTTAAAGCATAATCAATAAATAATACGCCGTCGAGATAAAAACCCTCTTGTAATATACAGCAATTTTTTTTTCATTACATTCCACTAAAATAGCTGAAGAAACAAATAGCACACACAGGTACACCGTACAGTTCAAGACTGACGCACCCCGAGGCTCGCAAATCGAATACTTTTTGACTAACAGCATTTCTTAGTAGGAAAAAAAAAAGATGCAAAGAAAACGTCAAAACGATAACATTTAAACATTTGAACGTTTCAGTTTGTGGTAAAAAAAATACTCTTTGGGGCAGTTTTCTGGTCATCTGTGTCTTTTTTTCGCTTTGATGAGAGGACTCGGGCTTTCCGATACAGCGGGGAGGAGCGGAGCAGCTCGGCTCAGGGTCACTTAGCTGTCCCCCTGTCACTCAGGCTGTGAAGACAGACCTCCTCAACCCCACGACGTCTCTTGGACCGTCCCACGGGTAGCTGCTGAGCTGGGTAGTCTTTGCGGTCACCAGAAGGGTAGCGCCTTCCTCCGTCGCCGGGAGGGGCAGAGCGGAGATGCGCTGGAGGTCAGCGGTGGTTTCGCGCCGGTCGGTGTCGCCCGGTGTCGGGACAAGCCCGTCGGGAAGTCCGGTCTCTCTGGCGCTGTCCGCTCGGCCGGCGTCCGCGGTTTTCTCGGGGTCACCCCCTGTGGATAAAAACCAGGAGGGTGAGTTGGGGGGGGGAGGGGGACACACACCTACGCTCGACGATCTTGGGTGAAAAAAATATATATTTCTTTTGCTCTCAATAAAATGAACCACCTCTATGTTGAGAATTAGAGATAAGACTTCATTGATCCCGGAGGGAAATTGAGGTGTTACAGCCCAGCCCAAGACAAGCAAAAACAGACATCGGAATACAAATTCAAATAAAACAAGTACAGCAACGCAAAATAAAATACATAGAGTTAGGTGTGTGCAAAATAGGCTCATTGTCACTGTAAAACAATCAAATATGTGCAGAATGCGCGTAGGTATATACAGATTGGAGATTACTGAAGCGTTTTCATCAGAGCACCTCGGACTCCCCCCTGATACTCGTGTTCAGTGATTGCCCGTCAAGTACACACTCCTGGGGGCTTACCTGTGTTTTGGGGGTAACGGCTGGATCTCCTTTTCCACAGCTTCTGAAGGGACACCGTCAGGATGACGCCCACCGCTCCTAAAAGCAGGAAGGCGCCCAGGATGATCCACACCGTTTCCACAGCTGCGGGGAGGGGGCGCAGAACAGGCGACAGTTGAGCCCCGTCGGCTGAAGCGGCGAGCGCCAGGCGCCCACAGGCGCAAACGACCTCAAACCCGTTTTCTGACCCGCGGCCCCCTCCCCGCCCTGCACCCCGCGATCTGCCCCCCCTCCCCGGCCGCCGGCTCTTCCCGCAGGGCAGGATGCCCGTGAGGGTGCCGAGAGCAGCACGGACAGTCGCACATGTCCCTGGCGCCTCCGGCCAGAGACCCGTGGCGTCTTCCGCAGGTGAAAGCAGCACAACGCGGGCTTCTGTTTCATCTTTTCTTGCAACTTCATTTTTTTTTTAAATCGTTTTCCGTCTTTCCAGGCACAAGCCCACCCACGAACGCAACACGTTGCAGAGGTTTCACGCACATTCTCTGTAAACGGTATCTACCGGGACGATATTGGTTACCACGATTTTTATTTTACTTATTCACTTCATATTTTATGTTGTTTAAAAAATTGCTAATAAGGTAAAGATGAAGAAATGCCTCATGGCTATGAATATTATATTTAAAATGTATCTAAGCCTAGTATCTTTTTAGCCTAACATATATTCTAAAACAAATCCGAAAGACCAAATCATGAAGGATATAGCACATATACTGTATAAGTACGTGCAGTTTAAACTTCAAAAGCAAAATTTTTAATATAAAACAAGGAAATACTCTATAACTTCTTTCAGGATTAACCGTGGTGCATATTAGAATTATCTGAATGATAGTGTAACATCTGACGCAAACACTGGATTATGAATAACTATTTCATTAATACGAAATTACTGCATTTAAAACGTGGCTCACTTACATTGTTTGCAATACGTCAGACAGACAGAGGGGGGCGCCTTAGAGCAGCGTAGATAGCACGGTTTACAGGTCTCCATCAGCTTATCGTAATAGTCGTTCGGGGAGCATTTGTGTTTGTCCATGTTTAATAACGGTGCTGCTGCTGGTGGTGGTGAAGACGGTGGTGGTGATGCTACAGACGGAGGCGGAGCGGTCGATCGTGTCTCCACTTGCTCTGCGGGAGAGCTGGAGCCCGGCTTTATAAAGCGCTCGGGGCTTCCTGGCATGTAAATAACCTGCCCGGGTAGGGACAGCCCCAGCCCAGCGCCGAAGGAATAGCCTAACCCGCGAGAAGCTGCCGCACCGCTCCGCTCTGTCCCACGTCTCTCTCGGGGTCCCCACAGGTTATGTAAACTCGACACTAGTTTCGTCCGCAGCCTGAAATAACCCGGAGGCGCCGCGGGGACGCGCAGCGCGCCCTCCCGCAAAGGCACTCGCGTACAGTACCTGCTGGGCTCACTGCTCTCGGCGCGACGCGACGCGTTTTGTTACTGGTGGCGTTTTTGAAGCGCCTTTTGGCAGTGTTACATGTCGGGAAAAGGTAAGGTCTCCCGGGAGGTGAGGGGGGACATGAGAACAGGGAACTTGCCGACTCAAACGCAGAAGTTTCCAGAAATATTTTTTGTCACAAGAGGTAAACCAGATGCACGCCGAACATTACAACGGACGAAATAACCTGTTCGGTAGCTTTTTAACAGAATGGATGGTGTGCTTTTCCTAATAAATCCGTGGCGGCATTTTTACTGTATTGTGCGTTTGTGATCTGACCAGGGCTGGTTCTAAATAGCTGAACTCGAGTTACTTCGTTTAATTATCCTATCATATAAAATTATTTCCGTTTATTATCAACACTGCGCCTGCTGAATCCAGGGTGAGCGTACTGTACACTCCTCATCCAAGAATCTCTTGTCTGCGTTTCGTGTTTTGCCTTTGTGTTTAAAGCGAGTCTTGTAAAATGGGTGAAGTAAAATGTTTCCTTCCCACCGAAACAAGCACACAAAACTGTTTCGGTATTCGACGTCAAACGTGTAGCGAGAGATATACCCTTACAAAAGAAGAATATGCTCCAAAATGAATTCCAGAAACTAGTCCATCACTTTTGCTCAGCACACCTGTTCCGTACAGTCTCCGCTGGCTCAAAAAGCCGAAGAGTTTGCTGCTAGAAAACTGGTCCCGTTGAACGCTTTTCATTCTGATTAAAAATGTGTTCCGCGCACAGAGCCGTATCTCAACCCCACCGCCTCATCTGCTACGACTGGGATTCTTGTCAACAGAAGAAGCTCTCTGCGCAAAATCCAGAGAAGCAGACAGGCGAAGCGCCTTCAAGCACAGCGAAACCGGAGCTTCAGGGACGGGGATCTAGCACCCAGGAGCCGGCGCTGTGCCCTGGGGTGCCCCTTGCAAAGCAGAAGTCAATTCCCGGTGGCAGCACGGGAGGAGAAAATGGAAGAGGGGGCGATCTTGATGGCTGTTGTCTGTTAATTGTAAAACCTTTTCATTTCTGTTGAACCAATAGAACCATCAAAGTAAAATATCTATTAAAAAAAAGGCACATATGCAAAACATGTTCTAGTCTAGCCCTGTTGATCTTGCCTGATATCAGAAGCCCAGCAGGCTGGGTCTGGTCCGTACTGGGACGGGAGCCCTCCACTGAAAACCAGGTGGCAGCTGTCTTGTTGATGGACCAGTAGGTGGCGCCCCTTTCTCTGGACCTGAATTTCTTTACCAGCTCCCCAGCATCTTGCTGTAGGAGACACTGTCGTCCAGCTGAGATGTGAAACTGAAGTCCTGACTGCCTGGTCATTGAAGATCACATGATGTTGTTCATAAGCGTAGATCTGTTAACCAATACTGTCCTGATTGAACTGTTAAATTCCACTCCGGGCTGGGCTAATCGTGCTTCCAAAATGTTCCCCTTAATTCAACAGGTAATGGAGTTTGTCTTTCCTCTCCCTGACCTGTGCAGTGGGGCTGCAGGTGCAGAATGGCCGCTGTGTGTCTCCCAGAGTGATTTCGGTCCCTTCCTGCACGTATAGTGCTTTGGGATCCTTGGGGGTGAGAAAGTGCGATATAAATGCTCTTCATTGTTGAACGCCGTTAGTGGTACTTATTCCTAGTTTTATTCGCCCCGCGCAGGAGCTCTCCTGTCAATGACTTCTCACGTCAAGCTGCTTCCTGATGGACCCCAGGGAACCAGCCTCTACAGCGCCGTGTGGCAGCCCAGTCTGCACACTCAGAGCTTTCATCATGCAGAGGGGGGAAACGGTTCTCAGCGTGAAGCAGTGTGAAAGAGAGGCAGGCAGTCCTGCCGAGTTTGTATCCCTCCATACTCTGTGTCGAGATAAGAGCACGAAGAGCTTTCCCTCCCCAGTTTCACAGCGCCTCATCAAACTACTGGATTCCTGTAGATCCGACTGTTTTCCATGAAACACAGATCGTCAGCGTGGGATTATTTTCACTCTTTAAAGGGAGCGCCCGTTGTTTGAAGCTTTCAATCGTTTAGGAAATTATTTTGGGGTCTTTTACAGCTGATTACTCAAAATATTCCCTTCACTATAAAACTATTTTTTTAAAGAAAACAGTCTTTCAGAGCCTGTTCAGAAGCACTGCGTTACGGTTATGCAGTTAATTTGATCATTAGACCAACTATGTAGTTGAGAGCTCACCTGGATCAGCTATCAGAAGACCCTGCCCCCCAAGGAGTGAGGGGTGCTTCTCTCCAGCTATAGAGACATGACCTGGGGGACACATCTGCCCCATCTGCCAGACCTCTGGGTTCTGTCATCACTCCTGCATTAACATCTCAGAACAGGGGAAATACGAGGGGTAAGAGTTAAGTACTGCACGAGCAAACAAACTAAGCGTGTATTTTCTTTAAAAAAATAATAATGTCCTTCCCTGGAAACACAGGGAGGGAACGCATCTTAAAATGAAGACTAAAAAGGACTGATGACCCATCGGTGTCAGGAAGGGAAAAAACATAAATAAAACTTGGACAGGGTGTTTAGTTTGGAAATCAACATGACAGGGTGTATTATTGGCACAGCGCTGGTACAGCACAGGTGATACCAGTGTGGGAAAGTCTGAAACGTTTAGAAACCGACTGCTGTGAGAGAAATGAAGACCACGTGGACTTTGACAGCTCTGCTAGATTACACACCCCTCCAGCCTGGGCCTACCCGGACAGCAAGCACTCAGGCCAGCCAAGGGAGATAAGAAGATACACACACTTCTGTTTATCAGTCTTGTATTGTAACACGGAGCCTTCCCCTGACATTACAGACGGACTGCTCGTGAAGTACAGCCTACTTTCATGAGATCAGTCGTGGCAGTGAAATGGAACATTGGCTCTGTTTAAAACCGTTTTAGAAAATCCGAAACAACCATTGTCTTTATCGCTTCCGTTAAATGATTGTTGTTGTGTTTTCTAAGACTTATTTATATAAATATACCTGCATCACGCGGTCTTGATACTGTTATAAAACTAGTTTTTCGACGAAAAAGTACTATTAATCAATTCAGTTCCTTCAGTTGGTATTAACAATTCAGTTGGTATTAGAATAACTTCCTGAAATTCAAACGGTATAACCTTATCGTTGCAACTCCTGGGCCCAGTTGCTTAAATCATCTTCTTAAAAGCAACACTTCGCTAAAACACTTGCATTAATTTATTTTAACAAAAAATCATAATGGGACACTAACTTGCAACTACATGGTCTAGAAAATTGTAGTCCTTCGCGGCTGTTGCTCAATCCACCACACTACCCGGATTACATCGGTATAAAACTCCAACACCCAAAGCCATTGCGCCCTAATGCTGCCGGTGTGATTACGTAACAATACCCCGATGCATTTCGGGAGTTGTAGTTTTATGCACCCGCCGCTCTTTGAGTCGAGATCCAGAACCGGTCCGCGAAAGCACTGCAACTCCCAGGGTGCCCCGCGGATGTCGCTCCCTGTGGTTGGGGAGAGTCATCGGCACACACGAGGACTCGCGTTGAGTGCTGAGTCGGATCTCTCTCTCTCTTTTTCTGGTGTCGCCGTGAGAAACCGGCTCCGTTTTCTTTGAAGACCAACCCAAAAAATAAAGAGGGATCACACTCCAAGGAGAGAAAACTTCTAGAGAAACATTTTCTAGACCGGGGGGGGGGGAAGACAACGCGCTTGGGCGGGGGGCAGTGATCAAAAACCAACTGCGTAAGCGAGAAGAGACGGTGCAGCAGGACTGAGGAGCCGCGATGGACCCCAGAGACACTGCCCCTGATTCCTGGGAACAGGAGGACGATGTGGAGGCCCCGGCCGAGGAGCAGCTCCGGGCGGCTTTCACCGGGCTCAACGTGAACGCCAAGCCGTTCGTCCCCAACGTCCACGCCGCCGAGTTCGTCCCGGCCTTCCTGCAGACTGGGCCTTCCGACAGCCCCGACGTCGCCGGTAAGCCCTGCCGGCGCTCACGCACACGGGGGGCCGGGACGGGGCGGCGGAGGCGCCACGCTGGGGCCGGGGCTGGGGCCGGCACGTTTCCCACCCTCGCCAGCCGGGATCGCGCCGCCTCACCTGGGGAGGGAGAGGAGGGGAGGGGAGGGGGGGGCATCTCACGCCGGCGCGGCAGGAGCCCGATGGCTCGTTTGTCAAGTGTGGTGGGGGGAGAGAAGGGAAAGAAAATCGAGCAGCGTGTGAAAAGCCGGCTTCGCTGGCGTAACGCGACATGTCTTCCTCTAGGAAACAAGCCGATCACCCCTAGTTGTGGCAGGTATGGCTTCACGGTGGTGGTGGTGGTGGTGGGGGGTTGTGTGACAAGCGTGCATCGTGGTCTGTGTGTCTTCATTGAAGTGGCGGGTATAAAAAAGCGAGGTGGGGTGCGCGGTGCGATGATTGGTACCAATGAGGAAAAGTTCGTGAATTACCGACTTACAATCTGGCGTTTAGCTGGAGGGAAACCGGTAGCGATGGCGCTGGACCGCACACTGTAGCAGGGGACCTGTGTGTGTGTATATATGTATGTGTGATGGATTATTTTTCTAAGCGGACGAGCATGCTGTCTTTGAAACGGATCAGAAATGAGCAGCACCGAGTCGCACGCCCAGGACGTCCCGATTGGACGTTTTCTGTGCGAGAGGAGTTTCCACCGGACTCCCGGAGGTCTGGGGGGGAGTCGCGTTGCGCGCAGGGTTGGACTTCACCACGCTTCCTCCGTCCTTCAGGTGTGAGGTCGGGTCGGTGTTGATCAGGGTGCTTGTAAAGGGTTCGAGGTGGAGATGCACATCGGCCAGAGCTGGTCTTGAGCTCTCTTGTGTGTGCATTACAGCCAGTAAGGAGTGAATTGCATTCAGTGCAACAGGTTTTAGAGAGGTGGTTTGATGCCGAAGAAGTTTAAAGGCCTGAGGTGTGGAGTTGAGTTAAAGAATTGGCAGTCTGGCAACTAACTCACAATTTCTCCTTGCAGATAAAAATGGACTCCCAGAATTAAATTTGTGCTTCCGGGCTATTTTATGATGGTGCCTTTGTCTCGGAAATAAGCCGTTTTTCTTATTAGTTCAGTTTCGCCCTGGCTGGTGTGCTTTCTCTTGTTAAGGAGAAGTGATGGGTGAGATCACGTTTCCCCCACTGGTGTCGCAAGAGGGGCTTGGAGACTGAGCGCCGTACAGAGGAAGCTGGCCCGTTTGCATAGGAACCGCTGGCCAAACATGCCCCCCCCCCCACACACACTGTAATGCCCCAAACCAAGCCTGTAATACCCCCTGTTGAGTGCTGCCACACCATTCTGCCTCGGGGGGTATCCTGTACCGCCCTTGTGGCATTCTGGGGCTGTTTTGCCATAAACCCCTGCGAATGTATTGCCCTGCAGGTGAGTGAAGCACCAGCTCTTGGGGGGGAAGAAGCCGTTTTCTCGGCTTGTTCCACAGATCCGGGGTTTTCCCCGTGATTGAGCAGGAGGCCAAATTGGATCGTCCTGGGAGTAGTGGTTCAAACAGGTGTTTGGCTTATAAAACACTTCTGAATGAACTTGGTGAACCGGTCATAATGTCAGGCTGATGAAATGCTCATCTAGAATGGGCAAAACGAAAACTGTGCTTTTTCTTATAGAGCTGCAGTGAAATATTTGCTCAACTTTTAAGCCTGGGCATATCAGGTTAGCATTTCCTCAAGTAACTTCACTTGGAGTCACAGTTTTCAAAAGGACTAACCAATCTGCCAGCATGCTTTTGAGGCTTTTTTCAGAAAATGATTAGACTGCAAAGGTAGATTTCATTCTGTAACACAGGGGGGTAGATTGATACTAGATCTTATTTATCTAGATTGATCTAGATTGATACTAGAGTGAAACCTGCCTTTAGAGTTAATGTCTTCTGCGAGAAAGCCCCATCTGGCCCATCTTCCAGTTTATACCTCCCAAGAGTAACTGCTGACAGGGGGCACAGGTCATTTTAGTTCAGGTCGTTTTTCAGTGACTTGAACGACATACAGACTGAGTTGAAATCTGTCCCCCTTCACATCTGAGGGTGTTCTCTCTGGCCCGATGGAAACTCTTATGCCTGACGCCTGCGCTCGTTAACACTGCGGGGTCCTGTGTTGTTGTTTCCATTTTTGTATTGATTGTTCTTTTCTTTCTGTCCCTGCTTTGTCTTCTGTGTAGCTGTAGTCAGAGCCTCTTGGCCAGGTCACCCCTGTGAATGAGAATCTGTTCTCCGCTGACTTGTCTGGTTAAATAAAGGAATGGCATTTCTGCAGCGGATCGCAACCAGCGCAGTGCTACGGTGAAAAATAAGTTCTCTGTTCTTTAAAGTTCTGGTCAATTAGACAGTGAGGCAGTATCAGAGCTATTACACATGCATCTTGAAATTTCATTACTGTCATATCTGCATTTCTCACCTGCTAGAATTCTACACACTACTTCAGCCCAGCTCCCTCCATCCTGGAGCTGACATGGTGTCTAAAGTCATTCCTCATTCAGGACTAAATTGATGCAACGCAATAGCGAACTCTTTCAGTCCTTAATTGACAGAGCTTACGGCCAGCTGACAGCAGCAACTCATTAAAGAAAACCTTTTGTGGAGGAAATGTTTCATAGTTCTGTTACCCATTTGAAAATCAAGTAATGCAAGTAGAGTAAGAGACCTGATAGTTTTGCATTAAAGGGGCACTGCTTAATTATAAGAGACGGCGAAAATGAACCCATTGGGAAGAGTTAACCAGTCGTAGGTGACGGTGCTTAGAAACACAGAAGCAGAGGCGTTTTGGAACATCCGTGCTCGCTTTCTGAGCTGTCGGAGTTTAATCGAACACATCGGTCTCTTTTACTGCTCCCACCTGTTTCCTATTGATTTAGCACAACTTCTGATATCGGGTTTATCTGTTTGAAGCTTGTTGGGGGAAAACCCAGCATCCCACACTCGTGCAAACTTTATCTATGCTTTTATCCCCTTGCCTTGATGGACGAAGACTGGAGAGCGAGGGTGCTCTTGTAGGGTAGACATCCTGTCTGCTTCCACCAGGGAAGGGAAGTGCTCTTCAATCTCTTAAAAGCGGCAGGCCCGGGGCTAGTGAGTTCTCTACATGAAATCTGCAATTCACGTTTCCTCTTCATAGCACGTGTGCAGGTTCGCTGTCTTGAGATCCTGGTGCTGTGAGGTGAAGCAGCAGGTGCTCCACGCCCGCAGTGAATGCAGTTTGAATCTGTACAGGAGAAGGAAGCTGCAGTGCTGTTTGGATGGTCGTGGGGGGAAACATTCAGAAACCCGACAAAAAGCCAGCGTTAGAATGAACATTGCTCAAATGGATTTTGTCAGATGTGGCAAAAACATCAGGCGCCGCTAGCAGAATTAAAAGAAAAGACTAAACCCTCTACTCAGTCATCTGCTAAAAACCAAACAAGCTGGATGGGCTGTGTGGCCCCCTTTGCTGCCCCTGTTCGTCCCTTTTTACGAAGCCCCTGAGCTTGATAGAGAGCGCTGAGGGGAACATGGAATATCTCTGCAGTAAATGAGTGTTAAAAACCACTGTAAATTAGATATTGCTGCTTAGGCAGGAAATATCATTTATGGCTCCAGTGTTGTAAGTAAATTTTGCCCTTGTTGCTTTTTAATGTTCAGCACACCGATGACCTTTTTTTTTTTTTTTTGCTCGAATGTTTTTATCTACATTTTTATCTAAACCAGTTTTAACTAAACCAAGCTTCTTTCTGTGTGCCAAGCTTACTAAATTCAGGCTGGATGATGGTTTATGTTCAGGACCGTTCTGGTACAGATCTGCAGCTGACGCATGGGGCTGTGTGAATTTAGAAAGGCTTAAGTAACTCTTCTTTCTATAATACGGAGTAATTTTACTCATTCCACCACTGGCACAGTTCTGTAATGTGTGGCATATGCTTAGTTTGCCATTTAAAGTTGTGTGTGTAGCCCTTCTCTTAGATGAAGTATTGTTTTATTCCAGCTCTGGAAAGAAGCAGCACATTCCTTATGTTGGTGCTGGGAGCTGACATGTCCTGTTAAGTCACAGGTGCTAAAGCAGTTCCTATTGTAAACACATTTCCTGTGCTCCAGCGTAAACAACAGAATGGTGTAAGGGTTTTCCTTGTCTGTGCCTGTGTGCAGATTGAAATAGTATGTGCGGTTCAAGGCATAGTATACATGAGTCTGTTCTTTCTTTTCCTTAGGTACTGATACAGTCACCAGCATGGAAGTTTCAGACTCTGTTGGTATGTACCTGTATCTCATTTTTGACTGAACCACTCAGAGGTGGGCTTTTCATGTCATTGTCACCTGATGCCCATATATCATACTCGTATAAGGAGTCTAATAAGCTGTATTTTAAGTGGGAATGGCATTAAAAGCTCTGCCATTTTGGCTTTTAGCCTCATACTGCATGGTGGCGTCTGTCTGCTCATTTGTGTTTTCATGTTTGAGCACGTACCAGTTAAAGACGTGATTTCCATGGCGAAAGAACACATACCGCCGTCTGCACGCTCAACATCCACAGTACGCTGCGGCAGAGAAGTAAAAACAGGTGCATGGGTTATTGACAGCCTACGTCGGTCCCGCATGTCGGCGTTCTTTCTGCAAGCGCCACCACTGAACGGGCCCCGTTATCCGGAGCTAAATATTATTATTTTTTACACATCTGGTGTGGTGTGGATGTTTCTGCCCGTGTCAGTCCATTAGTGGGCAGGACGGAGCAGGTGCGCCTGTAGAGTTTGCTGGCAAAACCAGACATGTGTTTATGTTTATGTATCCTGGTCAGTATACAGTAAGGAGGCGCTTCCTACTGTAGAGACTAAGGGATGCTGGAGGACAACGCTGAAGGTTAGTCATGGAGAAGAAGTCCAGCAGCTCCTACAGGCCCTTGTGGGAGCGAGGGCTTCACTGCGTCAGGCCTTTTGGCCTGCATATCACAGTGCCTTTTGGCTTGGAATTTAACTAAAGCGGATCGTGACGGTAAAGGGCACAAAGATGCCTTGACAGTTATAAAATTATTTTTTGAAGTTCCTTAGGCCTCAGATTAGACGAACGGCACTACACCTCCTGCACCTAGTGCTTTAAAGAACATCGTCAAATTAAAAGAACGGCATGAGAATGCAGTGATGAGTAAAGTCTAACTAATGCATTATACATGTCTGTATTTCAGTGTAACCTTAATGCTACTACTCCTGTTTAGGCTGTGCTTTTCGCTGTGTACTCTGAGGTTTTCAGTTGGCTTTTTCAATCTCTTCAGCTTTATGCATCGTGGTTATTTAGGGGATAAAAAATGAAAGGGCACGCTAGGATCTTCTTCCAGAAGCGTTTGTTTTGCTTCCTTAGGCGTCCGCGGGTTTGGAATAAGTACTGTGCACGCAGCCGTGCAAACTTGCCTGTGTGAAACGGTCAAGATGGGGAGGGGACATCAAAAGGCAGCCCGTGAACCCCACTCTTCATTAAGTACTGCAGCACTTTCCACTTCTTACCTCACACTAGCTAAATGCTTGCGTACAGCAGTAGCTCACCAGCTGTTCAGGAGTCATATCAATCCAGTCGTGTTCCTTTATTTAATTTGATGTGCTTCTAAGGCTTGGGAAGATCGAATATAGAAGCCCATAATGTAAGTAGATTTCCCTGGAGCTCTGATTTAGTTAGCAAGTGATGCATTGTAGAGCTTGCTTTCCGACTCTCTCTGCAAGGTCTGCGTGCAGATATCAGGGGTGTTATCGTTATCTCTAGACAGGAGAGTTTCACCATAACAGATTCCCATGTCATTTAGTCTTCATCTGCTTCTGTTCATCATACTGTTTGCCGACCCCTGTAAATCCCCGAGGAGCAAGCTCGAAGAGTTATGATCGATAGATTTTAAGAGTAGAGGTTTGGAACCCACATTGAATCGAACCCACAACAAATCGCACAGTCGAGGTGTTGTCAGGTCGTACAGCGGAGTTGTTGCTTTGAAAAAGGGAGGCGGAGTTCACTGACCCCGAACGCGGTACTGTGTACTCTGCTGTCGTGGTGAGATCTGACCAGATCCTGCTCTGGAAAGAGTGTTTGGGAAGTAAACAGGTGACCGTTTATGTATTAACGGTCTATAAGTACATGAAAGGAAATGGGCCAATTAAGGCCTGCAGTGTGGCGCCTCCTGCCCATGTAAGTGGAAACAAAGGTGGGGGCTGCATGCAGATGTTCCACCTCATTAGGAGCCCGGCCTGCTACCCTGTAAACACTGAGAACAGGCCCCAAGTATGCACAGCACACATGGCTCTTCAGCCAGCAGAGCAGCGAGTGCAGGCAAAAAAGTGTTTTAATGTTGCCGATTTTAAACTTCCCAGCTTTTTCCCCCCATTTTTGCATGTAATTTGTTCGACATTTTAACAGCAGTTAGGAGGAAGATTTATGTAAAACCTGTACCAGATTTCTTGTTCTGAATTTTTGATGCTACAGGCAAATTGACTTTAGAGAACCAAGTATAAATTTCTTTAAATATTGTTTGTTGAGCTTCTCTGAAAATCAACTGCATACATTTTGCCTCCTCTTACTGGAGAGGTATTACTGATGTTGTGTGCTGCAACTGAAACAATCTCGTTTGTATAGAATAATGTCTTCGTAATCACTGTTTAATGCTGTTTCATCCTTGCAGACCTCCGGAGACCCTTCAGCGCAGTTCAGTCACGGGCTTTCTCATTGTTAGTGGAATAGTGTGTAAATGGCAATCCCTTAGCAAATAGAGGGGGGTTTTGTACATGATCAGTGAAGTGCTTAATCTGACAAGGCATTGCTGACGCACTGACGGGAAGAACACAGGCAAGACAGAAAAAATCTTGCAAACTGTTTCCCGAATCTCCCTGTGATTGCAGCTGACAAGTCGCTCCGGAGAACTCAAGCGCCCAGTACAGCTTCCATATTTTTCTGTAGCTGCGTGCTGCCAGCTTGTCTTCTCTTATTGCGCTGATTTGATGAGAAATTGCCTGAGATGGAGTTTTAATAGTTTATTTTAAACTTTTGTGTCTGAGGCCTTTGAATCATAAATGGTACAGCTGGTAATATCTTTGCTTTTCACTTAAGTCCCTCCCCCCCCTTCTAAATCTAGAGAGTTTTAGATTTTAACCGTTTGTGCAATAAATAAGACTTCACTTGAGCTTGCAGTCCGTCACACGCATCCACGCTCTCTGTTGTCGACAGGAAATCCTCATCGCATGCCTCTGACAGCTGAGGGCCGCTCAGTTTCCCTTGCTGGTGAGCAGCCCGAATCGATCAGCTGAGGCTCTAGGTTGCTGTCCCTAGACCTATGTATGCACACTTCATACTCCCCGGGATTCGCTTTTCATGGTTTGTGAAATGCGAAGGAGTTTACGTAATTGATTCCGGCTGGAGGGTCTTGCAGTTAATAATAATAATTGCTTACATTTATATAGCGCTTTTCTGGACACTCCACTCAAAGCGCTTTACAGGTAATGGGGACTCCCCTCCACCACCACCAATGTGCAGCCCCACCTGGATGATGCGATGGCAGCCATAGTGCGCCAGAACGCTCCCCACACATCAGCTCTCAGTGGGGAGGAGAGCAGAGTAATGAAGCCAATTCATAGATGGGGATTATTAGGAGGCCATGATTGGTAAGGGCCAATTGGAAATTTGGCCAGGACGCCGGGGTTACACCCCTACTCTTTTCGAGAAACGCCCTGGGATTTTTTAATGACCACAGAGAGTCAGGACCTCGGTTTTACGTCTCATCCGAAGGACGGCGCCTGTTTACAGTAGAGTGTCCCCGTCACTACACTGGGGCATTAGGACGCACATGGACCGCAGGGTGAGCGCCCGTTGAGTGTTTTTATCCTGTCCCGCCAGCAGCGCCGGTGGAGAACGGAGAGGCAGACATGACCGCGGAGGAGTCGTGGGAGCAGAAAGGGGAGCCCAGTGAAGCGGAGCCGGGAGGCGGCCCCTCAGGGGACGGGGGTCCCGCCGAGGAGCCCCCACAGGAGATGATGATGGAGGAGGAGGAAGAGGTGCCAACACCCAAAGTCGTCCTTGCCCCGCCGGACGCCCCAAAGAAGGAGCATGTGAACGTGGTTTTCATCGGGCACGTCGGTGAGTGGCAGGCCTGCCGGCGGTCTGGTTCTGATCGGGCCCGGGCGGCCCGTTCTGGGGCTCGGGGCAGCCAGTTTCCCCATCAGGCCTGGGATTTTCAAACCCACCACCGGACCTGTCCCGTCTGTGAGCCCCAGGGACAGACTCCTGGGAGTGTGCCGTGCTGGAGATCTTTCAGTTTTTACTGCTCGGCCTTATAACATTTAAGTTGCTCTGCAAATGCCTGTGAAGGAGTGGGGATTTTGCCACTAAACTGGGTCTGATGCCCATAATGAGACGAGGTGTCTCGGAGAGGACAGTTACTTCTAAACCACAGCTAATTTTCAGGGATCCGGTATGTTTGATCAGTTTTTACACACTCATGCTTGAGATGACCAGTTTTAAAGAGCCTGGCAGAGTGGTGTGACTTTTTCCTTGGCACTGATTTCACCCGTCTTATGTTTGTCTCCTCTCTGACTGGTTTAGATGCTGGCAAATCCACAATCGGAGGACAGATCATGTGAGTAACGGACTCGGGATTTTTGGTTGAATTCTTGTTCTTTGATGTTGTTTAAGACAGTATGTTGACACTCGCATATTGTTAAAAGAGTCAACTTGATTGGAAGTTTTGACAGGGAATACATGGCCTATGACATTGCCTCTTTCAAAACTAGAGACCTGGGTTCAGTGTCCTGAATCATGTGTACGTGTACATAGCTGTCTGGATCCTGGATTCCCATAGCAACACAAAAACACTAAGCCTGTCGGCGTAATACAGCAAATGCATGATGGTGGTACCTGATTAGGGCACTTGTTGCCATGATTAGGCTCTCCTGGTGCAGGCACGAGATGAAATATGTAGTCTGTTCTCCAGGTAGAAGCATCATGCACACCTTACTGTGTTCCCAACCATTCTTTACACTGGCAGCTTTGGCGAATTCTTGATTTGGGAGCTTTCAAACTTTACATTTGAGAGTGACCGATCTGGAATTAGCTTTAATAATTACTCTTTGTATTTGAGGACGGAGAAAAAAAATTCTCATTCATCATAACATCCTGGGGAATACCTGTTTTTAGAGTGGATCAGTTTGAGTGAAGTGCATCTCTCCTGGGTACAGCGGTGCTGCATGAGGGAGCTGAACCCATGACCTTCTAGTCTGCAGCCCAGAGTATTAATCAGTATCGCCTAAACATGCACATGTTTTTATATTTGTCGGTTAGCTTTTGCTTACTTGTCTGCTTCAGCATTACCATGCTTGGACCCTCTAGTTACCAAGTGTCAGACGCTCTGTCTCCCTCCCTCTTTCTCTCTCCAAGGTATTTAACGGGGATGGTGGACAAGCGAACCCTGGAGAAATATGAAAGAGAAGCAAAAGAAAAGAACAGAGAGACCTGGTGAGCTCATTGATCCCAATCGGTGAAAGAGATAAGGTGTTGAGTAGATCATCAAAAGAAGTTGGTCCAGTGTTTTACTCCGCCGACATGCTTCCTCTGACAAGGGAGCCTGAAATGCTCCTTTCCTGCTGGAGTCCCTGATTCCTCATAAGGAAGAACCACAAGGGGAAAATGAAATCTTCCTCCAAGTACGGAGAATAAGATCCGCTTGTGCAGAAGGTCCAGAGTAATATCGTTTTTATGGGTTTACTCGTAATAGATCTCCACACTAGATGTTAGTGAGCTTTAGAGGTGCTGTTCAGACTCTTTTAGGCTTATAATAAGGAAATAGGAATTGTAATGCGAAATTACATGTTATTCAGGACTTAGTGCTGAATAACTAAAGAAAATCACAGAATCGGTGCAATTGCACTAAACAGAGCTTAGGTGCGTGTAAAAAAATTACTTTTAACTAGAAATAAGGATAGTGCTTTTAACTGAAAGCATGGCTGAACCGGAGAAGCAGACGTATTAAATATTTCTCTAACCCATATTGTTTTTTTTGTAAGGGGGATAATAAACGTACTTTCGCCCCTGTGCAGGTATCTTTCCTGGGCTCTGGACACGAACCAAGAGGAGAGGGACAAGGGCAAAACCGTGGAGGTCGGGCGCGCCTACTTTGAAACGGAAAAAAAGCACTTTACCATCCTGGACGCCCCAGGCCACAAAAGCTTTGTCCCCAACATGATCGGCGGGGCATCGCAAGCGGACTTGGCCGTGCTGGTGAGTGAGGAGAGCTGAGATCTGAGCCGCCATCCCTCCTAGGTGGTAATGCCCAGCCATTTTGGGCCAGTGCAGTGTGTTGTTTTATTTGGGGACTGGGGTGGAGACAGTCGTCTGAGCTGGCGCTTTTGTGCTGCGATCATCGGGCGTGTACTCGAAACCCGTTCCGAGTTCCCCCACAGGAACCCAGAATTGTAGCTAAAACAATTCTGGGTTCCTGTGATGCCATATGGGCTCCTTTCAGGAGGCCTTCAGACATTAAACTGAGCTGAAGGCACAAATTCAGTTCCTTACACTGTGGCAAACGGATGGAACCGAGGCGGAGGTTAGGGTCTCGCGTCACCACGGGTCATGTCCAGCTGAAGAACTGCCGTCTTGCTTTCCCTTGCAGGTGATCTCTGCCAGGAAAGGAGAGTTTGAGACGGGGTTCGAGAAGGGCGGCCAGACGCGAGAGCATGCCATGCTGGCCAAGACGGCAGGGGTGAAGCACCTGATCGTCCTCATCAACAAGATGGACGACCCGACGGTGAACTGGAGCCTGGAGAGGTGAGGCAGCGCGTCCAGGGGCAGACCGCGTGCCCAGCTGGCGGCCGGGTCGGCGATGTCGTCCCGTTGCACTTCCTCGTGCGTTGGCGGCAGTCCGATTGAAAGGAGTCTCCGTGTGCTCCCCCCTGTCTGGGATTTCGGCAGTGAGCACGTCTTTTCCCCCTCTCTCCCAAAGGTACGAGGAATGTAAAGAGAAACTAGTGCCATTTTTGAAGAAGGTCGGGTTCAACCCCAAAAAAGATATTCACTTCATGCCCTGCTCTGGACTCACGGGGGCCAACCTCAAGGAACCTGCGGACCTGTGCTCCTGGTACACGTAAGTGCAGCGTGGTCGCTGAACTTCATTTAACGATATCCTCGGGTGCAGTCCTGCGCTTTAAAACACGGCACAAGTAGTTCCGTACGGGTTTTTTTAGGCTTATAATAAGGAACTAGAAATTGGAATATGAAATGTTGTTCAGGACTTGGTGCTGGCCGCCCACGTTGAAGCTTCATGGTCACGTCTTTATACTCCATAAATAATGAGTCATTTGCATGACTTTTTTTTTTTATCTGCTGCTGGCATTTGTAAGTTTGTGAACAGTGAGACCTTCACAGCTCGGTTCTCTTTCCTTCCCATCTTCGCAGAGGGTTACCGTTCATCGCGCACCTGGACAGTCTGCCAAACTTCAACAGATCCAGCGACGGGCCGGTCAGATTACCGATTGTCGACAAGTACAAGGTGAGGGGCGCCTGGGCGGGGTGACACGGGCTGGAGGGGCACTGGTGCGAGGGTGGTGGTGGCGGCAGGGGAGAGAGGGCTGGCTTTAAAACTGGTCTGTTCTTCCTGCCCCATTCCAAAATATCGAGTGCACTGAACTCCAGAATCCTGTAGTCTGCTTAACAGCGCCTCGTTTCCAGGAGTGGGAAAAGTGCTAGTATCAGTCTGGCAACATGTTTAAATGTTGTTGGTGTTTTATTTTATTTTTGGAATGAGAACACTGCTGAGCGGTCAGCACTGGTAGTTTTGAGAGCTCTGTGCATGGAGGGGCCAGCGGTGGTTGAGCTCATTTTCGTCTGCGTGTTCGACGCCGGCCTCGGCGCAGAGCTCCTTGAGCAAGTCGGGATCGGCGACGGCCTGCTCTCGCGTGGGTGTGTTTTGGCACGAGCGGTAAAGTACAGACTCCACTGAATGAAGGATAAAGCCTTTTTTTCCCCTCCCGTTTCCTATTCTATTTAAAAAATGTAAAGTGTTGTTTTAGCTCTAATTATATGATATAAAAGAAAACGGGTTTCCTCTGGAGTTTATATTAATTTGAAGTAATGTGATGAGGGTCAGGTTAGCTGAAGCCTGGTTATACTGCTCAGAAAGCTGCAAGTAAATCTGTCAAGAGCACAAAGGAGGTCAGCAGGTTTAACTCCGGAGGAGGGGAAGCCGAGAGCTGAGAGAGGTATGAAACAGGAGCATGGAGTTAGGCTGGGGGGGGGGAGTCTTTGGAGTGATCACCTGCAGGGAATGTTTCATTCTTGTCTTTTAGTGTATCTTACACGGCAGAAAAACAAACTGCTGCAGGGCAACTCGGCACGGCTCACCTGGTGCTTTTAAGATCTTTGATAATATTGACCAAAAGAATAGCACTTAAAATTCAAGAGTTTTCAAGGAGTTTCTCTTTATATTTTGTGGTAAATTGGAAATTTTTCAAAAGTGGTATTCAGAGTGCATTTGAATCTGAAACGCAAAAATAGTACATATATTACTAGTAAATAGCTGATACATGCTTGCGTATGTGGTCTGTACAGACTTCTCTTACTACAACATAGTGGAAGTCTTTGCAGTGACCTTGTAGTGGAGACATTAACTGCTCAACTTCACTGGTTTGTGCCCTTTATTTTATTACAGCCATTGGTTTGCATACTGAGTAGGCTGATCCCAGTTTCTGTCAAAGTAAAAAACAACGCTCTGAATACGTGAACAGCTTTAAGTGTCGTTATTTTGCTTCAGCTACAGATCTTAACTAAGCATTACAGATTTACATGCACCCTTAACAGATAATGCGGACTTCAGGATGTTGGATGTTCCTGTGCAGTTTGTTCTTCCAGGGTAGTGAATTATTCAGGTTTTGTCATGGTAAATGTCATGATGTTGGCTGTTCAGTTCACTGATTGTGAGTGTCCTTAACAGGATATGGGCACTGTGATCCTGGGCAAGCTGGAGTCTGGGTCTATCTGCAAAGCACAGCAGCTTGTGATGATGCCAAACAAGGTGGGTTTGCATGTATTGCAGCACTGACCTCTATCCCGGGTTCTGTCTGAACAGCAGTTTCAAATGCTGCATTTCCTGAGAGCCCAGATGGGTTTTTTTTATAGACTGCATCAGTCTTCTGTGTCCCGTCTTCCTAAAAGCGAGTTCAGAGATAGCAGTGGTTATAGCAGAGGGCTTCTGCTCGCACATAACGCATAAGCCCAAACAAAGCAGCAGGAGCTAGCTGTGGGGCCTGTACAGTGCAACACCATGCTGTTGATCTAGAGCCGTGTGAGATGTGGCTAGGCTCCTCGGCGACTGACTGAAGAGGTGCATGTCTGTCCCCAGCACACCGTGGAGGTCCTCAGCCTGCTCTCGGACGATGTGGAGACGGAGTTCGCCGGGCCCGGGGAGAACCTGAAGCTGAGGCTGAAGGGCATCGAGGAGGAGGAGATCCTGCCCGGCTTCATCCTTTGTAACGCCGAGAACCTCTGCCACTCCGGGCGCACTTTCGACGCTCAGGTCAGGGTCCGCCCCTGCCCCCGCCCCATCATCACTCCCCACAGGCCCTTGTGTCTTTCAAGTCAGTCCGCGGCCCCTCCCCCAGGAATGACGATCTCAGAGGAGGGATCAAAGAAAAGCCTTTGAGCATGCACCAGATACAGAGCGAGGCCCTGTCCCATCACCAACACATGCTTAAAGTCAGCTGTTAACTTCACCTCACATTGCTAGAATAGTGGGTGAGTTCACGTTCATACATTAGGAGAAGAGGCAACACCCGCCCAGAGATTATGGAGGTGCTGTCCAGTAAAAAAGTAAGTGATAACCATAGAATCCATGGGTGCGCACTCTCTGCTCCAAGACAATTGAACACCTTCGGCATCCTCCTGACCTCCAACTGAGGGTTTTAGAAAAATACTTCATTTTACTTTTGGCCACATACCTGCGGATCAGATGAGGCAAGACCTTAGCCTGGCTTCACACGATGTTGAAGTGAGGAAAGCTGTGTTTCTTCATAGAAAGAGAAACTGGTCACACTTCTGTCTTATTTCTGCTCTTGTCTCGCCTTCACAGATTGTCATCATCGAACACAAATCCATCATCTGCCCTGGTTACAACGCAGTCCTGCACATCCACACCTGCATTGAAGAAGTCCAAATTACAGTAAGTGCATGATTTTCCACACCACTTCCAAATGTCTGACAGTGTTTTAAGTAGCCATTGCTGGTCAGGCAAGACATGATATAAAGAAGTGGTGTCACATAAGTCTCAAAGCAGTCATGCAGCAGGGCCTGCTGTGCATCCTGTGTTTTTACATGCTGCGCTTCCAGGAATGCTTGTATGTTTAGACAGAGTTCAGATCTTATTACAGTTACTGTGTATATGGATATTAACCTGTGCTATTTTGGTTTCTAATGGGAAACTGTCTTAATAGGTGGGAGTAATTTCAGACCTCCTTAACCTCCAGTTATGTATGCAAACTTTGTAACGGACGTTAAAAAAAAGGCTCTTAAGTTAGATTCTTTTCATTGATCGACTTGTTTGTAGCAATACACACTTAATTGTATCATTATTGGCTGACTGCAGAAAATCACACTGCTGTTAATGGACCTGAAATGATTTTCCTCCTTCTCATGCAGGCCTTAATCTGCCTGGTAGACAAAAAGTCTGGCGAGAAAAGCAAGACGCGACCTCGTTTTGTGAAACAAGACCAAGTGTGCATCGCCCGCCTGCGGACCGCGGGCACCATCTGCCTTGAGACCTTCAAAGATTTCCCTCAGATGGGACGCTTCACCTTACGGGATGAAGGTGGAGTTAACTGTGGCTTAAAGCATGGGACAGCTACAGCCCCGTTACAGAACAGACCTCGAATTCACTTTCCACGCCATCTCACCCTTGTCTTGAAGGACTGAGAATAAGGGCGTCAATGCAGCTGAACTGCATCACACGTAATTACGGCAGACACATGTCCGCTGCAGATGAGGCTGGATTTGTATTTCTGCTTCGTGATTGGTGTTGTACAGCACGAATAAGGAAGGTTTAGGAAGGTTAAACCCACTTAAAGGGGAGTACATTGTGTCGGAACACGGGAGGGTAATGTCTGTGTGAGGATGTTAGAGCAGCGTGTTTTAAAAAGTATGTAGTTAAAGATTTAAAGCTGTTTGCAATCCCATGTGATCGAGTGGGTGGGTGTCTGATTTGACTGTATCGGTGAAAGAAATTCTCTTTTATGTTTTTTTTGTAGGCAAGACCATCGCCATTGGCAAGGTTTTGAAGCTGGTACCAGAGAAGGACTAAAGGGGGCGCTGTGGTTGCCTGGCGTAGTTGACTGTGATGGAAGTGGACTCGGCAGCAGCCTGCTTCTCACCACCTTCTCCTCTGCCCCTCCTGCCCGCCGCAGACGAGTTCACAACACGAAACGTCTCTGAAAGTGAAAGATAAATCAGTTTTTTAAAAAAATAAAGAGTCCACATATGTCAGCTTTCTCATATTGAGAGCTCAGCTATGCCATTTGTTAGTCCCCTCCCTTCCCTGTTTTAAGATTGTCATTGAATGAAACTTAATAAAAGAAAGATCAGAATTTCTCTTCCAACTTTTTTGACTTCCTTCAGAGAGAAAGTGGCAGCAGCTGCCAGAACAGGTGTGGACTGAGCTGCTTGGATTAGAAAGGAAAAAAAAAACACAAATTTACAACACTTCGAAACCAAAATAATGTTCATATCCTGGTTGTACATGTCTCCCTTTGCTTATATCAAGATGGGTTTCTCTACACAAGGAGTTCGTACAGCATGTGCGAGCGTGATCACATGTTATTAAAGCGACTACAGTGACAATAAAATATTAAGTTTAAAAAAAACATTTCTGTTGCGTGCTTCGTTTTGTGTGTTGAACTCTTCTCCACACTGGAACCTGGCGGGCTCTGGACGGCTTCCTCTTTATCCCCCAGCTTTCTGAGGGCAGCAAACCCCGTTCGTAACTACCCCAGCCCAAACCGCTGCAGACAGCAGAGCTAATCTCCCTTCAGACCTTGGTGGCCACTGTCTTGTCTCTGGAGCACAGCTGTAAGGAGTTCAAGTTGAGTGTTCTTTAAAAAAAAGACTCAAATTATTGTTGCATACAGAATTGGCAGTCAGTGTTTTTGAAGTGTTTAAGGGGATGAGTAGTGGCATCTTTTTATGTGAATTTTTGCACTCCAAAGTACATGTAAGCTAAGTGTTTCAGAAAGTCGGTTTTATTTTTTAAAATACCTCTGTGCCAGTATTATTCTGTTGTTTACATGTTGGCAGTGAACAACTGTTCTAGTCAGGGGAACTTTCTGAAATGTGCATCTATAAAGGTCTTGCATTAGTGCAGGAACGTGACATTAATGATCCCCGCCCCAATGTAGACCAAAAACGTTTATTCCAATTTTATGATCTGTAAATATTTCAATAACCATGATTATTTGTCCAGTCGAAAAATTGTGTCCATGGTGGATTTTGCCGTTGACTTCTAAGGGAGACGCTATAAAGAAACTCCCCCCGCCCACAGAATATTTCAAGATCAATCCAAGATCACATCAATTTTATAAGGCTGCAGTAACAGTCTTCCTCGACACAAAAATAGCACAACGTGGAACGAACCGGATATAAGGATCAATCTACGCATGCCTGCACAATAGGTTGGGGGCTGGGGAAGCATAGTGCGTTTATAAATAAAGTTTGGGCTTTCAAGTGAAACAGGAAGTGGTTGATTGACGCATGTCCGAGTCCTGTGGGCCGCACGTGTCAGGAGAGGCAGCATGGCGACCGATCAGAGCGGTGGTGTGGAGTTGGATCGCTCGCAGGTAATATAGCAGATTCAGAGATCGTGAGAGATGTGTTCTGTATTGAATGTGTCTACCAGCGATAAAAAAGTATTCGTAATTAAACAGTTCGTTTACGTTACTTTTTTGGGTATTTTACTCGTATCTGTAGGGTAACTGCTAAATGGGATAAGCGGCGACTCTAAAATAAGTTGAATAACTTAATTTCTTATAGCAGCGTATGTGTTGTAGGTTTTTCGTATGATCTTCAGGTGGGCGCATAAGCCAGTCTTCCCTGATTTATCATTAAACTTAGTGTAGAAGTCCGCAATATCCGTCTCCCCATGAAGGAGTTGAGTGTGATGCAACTAGTTCTTAGTCTGGCGAGCAGTTGTCATAATTAGCTACCAAAAAGAAATACAAACATGCACGTTTATAAGCAGCTCCTCTAAAGCTTATAATTTATTTTAAATAGAAATTGATCGCTTTTTTATGTACTGCTGAAAATCGCAGCGAGGAGAGCGCTTGAGAAAGATGAAGTGGTAGGACATTCACTTAGATCGGTCAGGAACATGTTTAACCTGGCCATACATTCGTTTTTCGGATTCATAGTCTCTCAGTCATTTTGTTTTTCATAAGAGTAACGTAAAATGTTTAGTGTTTTGGGTGTGCTGGTGAATGTTGATAGCAGGGAGGCATGGCCTAGTGAGATGGTGGTAACACTGCTGCCTCCGGGGGCACCTCTTGTGTGGGCTCTGTGTGCTGTCTCAAAATCTGCGGGTGTCTTCTAGCAGACTACTTCTCCAGGCTCAATTCCCCCTGCCTGCGTGAGTGTGGGGCTGTGGCGGACTGGGGTCCTGTGCAGGATATAGTCTTGCCTTGTGTGTCCTGAATGGGCTCTGGTTTCCTGTGGCTATGAATGCAGAACCATGAAACCCCCCCCAACTGAGAAGAAAGCGATGTTGTGGTTTTAGGCCGCCGGTTTCCTGGCCTGCACTGAGGGATTCGGTGTCTCGTGTCGTTGCAGGTGAAGAAGGCTGCGCAGGCCCTGCTGGCCTACCTGAAGAGCACGCCCAGCTCGGGCTCCGTCCTGCTGGACGAGCACCAGCACATCTCCCTGCTCTTCACTCTCTGGAAGGTCCCCAAGAAGGAGCAGACTATCCGCATGTGAGTGTTCGTGGCAGGGTTACTGGCGGGCTGCGGCGTCTCTGACGTCTCGATGTGCCCCGGTGTGGAGCAGTCGAATGTCTGCTTTCGAGCGTGCCTGGCCCTCCTCCCATCTCGAGCGCTGGTGGCGATTTGAAGGAAAGCGTGAAGCCTGCTCCACTGGGTCCCACTGGCTCAGTCTGGCTTTCCGCCCGGTGACAGTCAAGCTGTCCGGTTCACGGGCTTCTGATAGGCTGGTTATGAGGGTATAAAAGAAGGGAAATCTCGATCAATTTAGCTTGTCTGTCTCATTTCAGAATATATGAAAAACCAAGAGTATACATGATCATGCATAGCTGTGGCCCTTATGGGTTGAGAAGTCAAGGATAAGAATTGATCTGTTGTTTGTGAGAAGATGTGTATTTCCCCAGGTGACTCGCCAGTAAGGTGGCACAGTGGCGCAGTGGTTAGCGCTGGGATCATGTGTTCGATTCTGGGCCTGGGGCACAGTCTGCTTGGGGTTTGTATGTCCTCATCAGTTTCCTGTAGGTCTGCCCCCACAGTCCAGTCCAGAGACATACTAGTAGGTTAATTGGCTTCTGGAAAAACTGGCCTGGGTGTGTTTGTGTTTTTGTATGTCCACTATGGACTGGCATCCTGTCCAGGGTGCCCGCTGCTTGCAGGTAGAGGCACTGGCTCTCCTGCCTCCCTGTATTGCATAAAGGGGTTAGAAATATGCATGGATAGATGAAATATTGCAGCAGGCTTTGAAAGTTGCTGCAGTGGTCTTCTGTGGCACTGAAGTGGAGACTCTTGCCTTCCTGTTCAGCCCCTTACCCCATGGCCTGCGCTTGGAATCCGGGGACGTGTGTCTCTTCACCAAGGACGAGCCCAACATGACTTCTGACCAGACGGAGCGCTTCTACAAGAGGCTGCTCTCGGAGAAGGGAGTCAAAGGAATTACACAGGTACTCCCCAGCTTAGCCACCAGGGGGCACTGTTCCCCACTGCTTGGCAGAAAAATTTTAAACACTCCCCCTCCCCCCCCAAGTTCCTCGTCCTTCGTCGGGGTGAGGTGATAACAGGTTGTCCTCCTCTCCTGTGGCAGGTGATGCCCTTCCGGGTGCTGAAGAAGGAGTACAAGTCCTTTGAAGCGAAGCGGAGGCTTCTGGGCAACTTCGACCTCTTCCTGGCAGACGACAGGGTTCGCCGGCTCCTGCCCTCGCACATCGGAAAGCACTTCTACCAGAGCAAGAAGTACGCCCACCCAGCCTGCGGGACCTGCTCTGCTTTACGTTTAGGACTGACAGTTATTTATATTGAAGCCCCATCTCCAGTTGCTTTTTTTCCCCCCTTGTATCGGCTCGTGGCTACGTTTCATAGCCACGTGGCCGGCTAATGCCAGCCCACCCTGATCCTGTTGTGCGCCACCTGGTCACAGGCAGCTATAGTGTCATGACCCTGACTCGAACCCAGAACCGCCTGGGTCATAGAGCTCAGTGAGTGCCTTAGCCAGGGGAAGCCCTCGAACTGGGGGGGGCAGCAAACCAGATGTTTTCCAGCTGTGAAGCTGAAATCTGATTTCGGATGATTGCGGTATCCTACACCAGCTGGTTACACGGCAGTTTAGAAAACCATCTCCTGAGTTATTTCAGAAATAATCCTCTGGGGAGGCTGTGGTTTTCCTACCAGCAGTTTATTTTTGTTTTCGCTGGCTTGTAATTGCACAGATCACAGGTCTTTGTAAGCAGAGGGATGGTTCTGTGTCCAGGAGTGGGAGCAGGTTTGCCAGCAGCCCGTGTTGGCGCTCTGGTCTCGCCATGTGTGCAGGTGTCTGTGAGGGTGGTGCGAGGTGTCCTGTCGAGCCACAGTGAGCCCGGCTAACGTCTGCGTGTGTCGGCAGGGCTCCCCTCTCCGTGGACCTGCAGGGGAAGCAGCTGGCGAGGGACATGACGCGGCTCATCCAGGGCTCCACTCTGGGCGTCTCCAACAAGGGCCCCTGCTGGTGAGCATCGCGGCCGCCGGCCACTCCGCGCCTCTCCTGGTCCCCCGGCCTCGGGGCAGTTCTCCTGGGGGGTTACTTCCTGGCTTTATGCTACCGCGGTGACCTTTTGGTGAGCCGGCCCACTCCACAGGCTGCCCTGTCTGCTTGGGGATGTTGGGCTGTTGATGGTGTCCAGCAGGATGGAGGCCCATCTGGGTCACTTGGTCTCATGAGCAGCCATGGAGCTGGAATTCATTTTCCTCGTGCCGGGCAGGACCCGCATGGAACGTCTTCCCATGGTGCACCCTTATCCGTGGTCTAGATGTTGTCCTGATTGGTTGCTTTGTCTCGGCACTCCCCGATTTCCCTGCCCTTCTCCCTCCATGTTGGGCTGGCACATGGGCAGTGCTACAGCGATGCAAGGTATATCCAGATGGGCTTCCTCGCTCGATTGGGGCTTGTCTCTACAGCCTTGATACAGAACGCTCTTGTCTGGTCGACAAACGCACTGGTCGCTCTCAAATAGAGAGGCGGCTGGCCTCTGGTGACGCTCCTTAACGTCCTCTGGAAAACCCTGTCCTTCAGCGGCTGTATCTTAAAACGCGCTGCTGTGCTCCTCGTCTCTAGCAGCCTGCGCGTGGCTCACATGTGTTTCTCCTGTGTCGCAGCATGGCTCGTGTGGCTCACTCAGAGATGTCGGTGGACCAGGTGGTGGAGAATATCGCAGCAGCTTTCAGCACGGTAGCGGAGAAGCTGCCCAAGGTGAGCCCATCCCTGCTGGGGTCGCCGCCTTCTGCCTGATGGGAGCTAGAACGTCTTGTGGCTGTTAGTTCTGGGTCAGGGGTTTCTAATCCTGGTGTCCTTGGTGTGTGCTGGTTGGATTCCAGCTTGGCGCTGGGCCCAAATTAAATTTCCCCCTAAACTTGAGCTAGTAATGCGATTAGATCTTTTTGCCTCCTGCCCCTAAAAAAAGTGGAGTTTCTCGCATTACTTATGAGCATTGGCTTGTCAGTTTAAAATCCCTTGCAGTTGTAGAGATAAAAACACAGATGTCTAACGAGTAGATTAATTGGTGGAGAACTCGGCAGACTGGGGTCCCAAGGGCCTGGACTGGGAGGTCATGTTTCAGATCCGTCTCTGCTGGTTTGTGTTCCACTGGGACCCTTCATCAGTGCTGCTCATTGCTGACAGTCACTGATTTGCTTGCTTGTGTGGGCTTTTTCTCTGCACCTGCATGTAACCTGGAGTGGTTTTGAAATCGGAGACTGAGTGCAGAAAGGGCCTAAACCAACAAGCAGATCAGTTACAGGCACCAGCTAGCTCTGCTGATTAAGGGCCCAGCTCGGACCCACACCAACAGATACAGGACACCTCCAGGACCATGACTGAGAATCTCTGGTTTCTGTTATTCATACTCGGGTGGCTAAAGCACTCCAGACTGGTAGTGGAATTTTACTTTCTTCTATTCAGTTTGAAACGAGCAATAACAATACTTGCAAAAAGCATTCCGGTTTCATATGATTGTTTCAGTAGTTGCAACCTGAGTGTTGCTCATGAAATGTCATATTTATCCTTTCCTTATGCTTGTGTGTTGTTGAGTTTGGCTTAAAATAATCCACTTGTGTCGCTGTCTCTTTGTCTCTGTGTGGCACAGAAAGGAAAGAGTATCAAGATCGTCCATCTGAAGAGCCAGTCCTCCGTGTCTCTGCCCATCTACACCTCTGACCTCAGCCACTTGGCCCTGCTGGAGGGCGGGTCAGACAGCGCGGAGGTAGGTCCACAGCGGCATGGTCTCCCTGAGGCCTTTACTAGTGTATTGCATGCCCACAGATCTGGTTTGTGTAACAGCAGCTGAGTATATTTGCAGAAAGCGGAGAAGGCAGACAAGCCCAAGACCAAGAAGAAGAGAGTGATGTCGACTCTGGGGAAACATGAGAGCCCAGCTGCTGAGGAAGAAGAGATTCCACGGCTAGTTCCCATAGAAACGCCACCGAAGAAGGCCAGGCGGGAGGTGAGAGCTGCAGGCAGGGAGACAGGAGGAGACGCAGGAGAGGAACCTGCAGACCTGCATGAGCGATTCCTGGGCACAGCTGGAAAGAGCAGGGGCGTTAGGCCTGGTTGAATTCTAGTCTGGCCGTCCTCGGTCACAAAGCACGTTGGCATCCTTGGGGGTGTAAGGCCTCTTCAGCCCTTAGAGACAGTTCATGAGATGATTGGTGCAGGTTCTTTACTCGTCTCTTTCTTTCTCAGGCACCAGCAAGGAAGGAGCTTGAGTCGGCGCCCCAAACTGTAGAAATCAAGGGGAGCAAACCCCTTTCTTCTCCGGGATCCCTTCCGGCGACAGCTGGCAAACAGGGCATTGGGGCGAAAACAAAGGTGTCCCAGACCCCCAAGAAGCCTCTGGCGCCGCGCAGGCTGCCAGGGGTGCTGCAGCGGAAGACGCCCCCCAAGAAGACCCAGGGCTCCTCGGCCCGATCGAAACTGTCCAAGTCGGCCAAGAAATCACCCAGAACCCCACTGCAGAAACGGAAGAAGAGGACAGTGCCGCAGTCGTGTTAAAGACACGCCCGCTTCCTGGCACGCCCACACGGGACTCCTGAGCCCAGCTGTTAGAAAACTGGCTTCATTTTTAAAAGCGCAAGCGAGAAAGGTCTCCGCGTGCGCACTAGTGCACACAGCGACTGTGCGGGAATTCTTGTCATCTGTGTGTGTGCGTGTGTGGATGTGCGCGTGCCGATTTGCCAGGCAAAGTGAAAGAGAGGCAGGGAAAGTAGTTGAGAGCTTGACACTGCTTTCCAGTTCCAAGGACAGTCTTGAGTTACAAAACAGGCCATGTGCCAGGCATGGGTTAAACGGTTCTGATGTGCTGCAGTTTGAATGAAGCTTCCTCTGTACTGTTTGAGGTTCACTGTTGGTTAAGGCTGAGGCAGTGTTGGTGTACGTGAGCAGTTGTGTGAGCTTATAGTGCTCCTGCAAGTGTGGCTGGTGGGAGGATTAATGTGCCAGTGTGTACAGACCTGGGCCTTGTCACTGAACTTTATTTTATAAACTTCTCTCCTGCCTTACACCCCTCCCCCTGACCGCACACTCGAAACAACAGTCCCTGACGTTGTGTAAGAAAATAGAAACGTTCCACCTCCTTCCAGCACAGTAATAAATGGAAAGCGGAGACAGTGCCGCTTACTACCAGAAGGTTGACTTGAAACAGAGCTGCAGACTGGTTTGCATCACCTTAGTACCTCTCAAAATGAGAGGAGGAATGGAGGAGGGAGTAAAGATGCAATTCCACTGCACCGATTGAAAAGATACCAGCTTGTGGTTCAGATGGTTCTGCTTTGTCCATGCCTGTGTTTTATATTCAGGACAGGTAACTCGAATGCTGTTTTTGTTAACCCAATAAATCCCTAATGCCATTTCCTACACGCATCTCTGGGTGATGTTTTGCAAATTGGAGTAAAAATGAGAGCACATCACAGCTGCGCTAGTGTCATTGCACTGGATTCCAGTGGAGTATAGAACACACTTATTTAAATTAGCAGCCCATGGAGGGATTTGCTGAGGCAATGTGCCCTGCCCACAGTCTGGGGGTTTTGCGTCCCAGCTCCGGCAGTATGGCAAAGACCATTCTGCAGTTTTTTTAGAAGCTTTCAC